GACTAATCCAGTTGTATTTTGTGCTACCAATCTCCGATTTATCTAATTTAATAAAGCGTTGTAGTGCGCGGTATGAATATCTGTGAGTGTTTTGGTTTTTTAATCTGAGAAGAAATTCCATTGACTGTTTCAGTATGTAATAGCCTATTTTACATAGATTAGCTTCAGTCCTTATTATGTAACCAGCTGTAGATCTATTTAAAAAGAGGAGGTTTTTCCAAAAGCTAGACTGTATTTTCTCACACACCTCTAGGTAGCGTAAACCCCATATACTAGCAGAATAAATAAAGGTGGGGATAACTACATTATTATAAAGGGTTTTTATAGAAGGAAGACATGATATTTTGGAGGTATTTATGGTTTTGAGAATTACTCCTTGAGAAAACCTGGCTTTCTGTTCGCGTTGTTTAAGGTTATTTAGAAATAAGCCATTGAATGTAAAAATAACTCCTAGATATTCGTATGTATTAGCAAGTTCTATTGTGGTGTTTTTATATTTAAAATTAATTTGATGCCCAATATTAGGGCTCCTGCGGAATATAACAACTTTGGTCTTGGACAGGTTAACTTCAAGTTTGAATTGGTCGCAATAAGTTTCCAAAATTTCTAGATTTCGCTGCATTTCTATTTGCGATTCTGCAAATATGACTAGGTCGTCTGCATACAATAGCATGTAAATCATTAGTTCATTATCTAGAATTACCCCTTTTGCGCCGTGTTTTCGAAAGAAAGACTCTATATCAGCAATAAATAGGGAGAACAATAATGGGCTTAGTGAGTCTCCTTGTAGTACTCCTTTTGTTATCTTAACTTTTTCAGAGGTATGACCGTTTTATTCAACGAATAGTGATGCGGAATCATACAATCGCTTCAAAATCCTTATTATTTTTGATGTTACACCGCTGGCGAAAAGTTTTTCCCATAAAATTGCATAGTCTAAAGAATCGAAAGCTTTTCGAAAGTCTACAAATAAAGTGAATAGTTTTCTTGAGGGGAGGCGCAAATAGTTATTTATTACAGCTGATAGAACAAATATGTTATCCTCGCAGCAGCGTGATTTTCGGAACCCGGCCTGGCATTCAGGTAAAATATCAAAGTTTTCAGCAAAATTGTTTAGTCTGATATTGATAAGCTGAGTAAATAATTTTGTTTTATGGTTCATTAAAGCAATACTGCGGTAGTTATTAGGATCTTCTGCAGGCCCTTTTTTATGGAAATGGATCATCTTAATAATAGACCACGAAGAGGGTACATGTTCTTCTAGAAGAACTTTATTAAATAACTTTTGTAATTGTATTATCCAATCTAGAGGCAAATTTTTAAGGAATTCGTTGCAGATAGCATCTTCTCCGGGGGCTTTATTATTTTTAGCAAGTTGTAAAACCCTAAATACTTCTTGAACGGTGAACTCCGCGTTCAAATAGGGTTGGATAACATCAAAATATTGTGTTGTTATGAGTGGGGAGGGGGCATAGTACTCTTTATAATAGATAATGAGTTGGCTGATTTCTATACAGTTCCTTTTATTCCGTTTCTTGTTTAAATTCATTTGTTTCCAGAATTCATTTGGATTATTTACATTCTGCAATTTAAAAAGTTTATCTTTTTCATAGGTGCGTTTTTTTTTAAGACACATCTTTTATGGGATGCAACTGTTTCAGACAGAGTAGAGCGGCTACCAAGCAGTTAGGACAACCTTGCTTGAAAGTTCGAAAGTATTGGAAAAATTTTCTTTTCCAGTCCCGTGCTTATCGTATACTTCCTAGATAGGCTTTGCTGACTTGAGACAGGCCGCTGATGGTAGTAGAGTCGTGAACGTTGTGATTTTTTTTTTTAATTCGAAAGTGTAGTAAAAATTCATTAAAATTGAAAAAAAAATGATTTTTCTGTATAACTTTTTTTGTTTTTCGTTAAATATGGATAATAATTTTTAGGGAAAAGCTTTATTATTTGAAGCAATTTTTGCCATCTACATTCGACACGTTGCCCACCATTCCCTGGACACCATGTATACGCTACAACACGTGTCACCCCGGCACGAGACTATAATGTGTCTTTAGTTAATTCACTCACGTCGCAAATGCAATTGATATACTATTTCATTATACCATCTTATCCGGCGTCGTAAGTTCAGTGATATATAATGCCTAATCACTGGCAAGTCTAGCAGAACGGTCCGATTGCACCGTCGAATTCAAAGATCCCTAGGAATTGGCGATTTCCCTTTGCGGGCCACTTGGGCAAGCCGTGAACCCCTGTTTTAAGATTAATGCAGTATGTGCACAGATGAATACCATAGCACGCGATGAACCGTGTTTGTCTGGGCGACACTTCCGCAGCGGTTTGCCCGACTCCGGACAGATGTGCTGAACGTTATTCAACGAGTTGGGAATGACTCGGTACTCTGAATATTCTGATGGTTCGTCCGCCTATAAAAACCTGACTATAACGCTTCTTAGTGTCGTAGTACTAGTTTCAAAAATTCGCCGATGTTTCCAAATTTCGAGAAACCTTCCAGAAACATACTGGCGGTATAAATCCCGCCAAAAATACGTATCCATAAACAAGGGATCGTAGACGACCTACTGCAGTCAACTGCATACATCGAAGGGCACCGAGCGGAACATAAAGTTTTTACCGATGTTTCTAAAGTTTCCAAAAATTCTTCTACGTCTCGATTACCGCAAAGCACCATCAGCCGTCAGAAACGATGCCGGCAGAGGCTGCGAGTCACCGCCGACAGCGCGCAAGGGGCGAAAATCTTATTTCCGAGTTTTTGCAAATGAAAACAAATTTCGAATATTATGAAATTCGGACTGAACCATATCGTCATAAATTACCAAACTTAATTAATTAAGCGTAATTTCTAAATTGAATGCGAAGACCACTCATTACCTAATCTGATGTATGTTGAACGTTAACCTGAGTGCTTTGCAGTTTCTTAACCAGAAACGTATACCTGACCAGTACACTATTACGCATCAAATTTTTGCATTTGCATTGTATAAAGCTCTCGCCACTATAACGCCAAAATAACCAATGATCGAGTGAGTAATTTTACATAAAATTGTTATCAGTGAAACTAAATCATTCCACAAAAGTTGTTTCCGCCTCTTGCATACGTGGTTAAAATTTTGGTACTTATTTCTGGGACACCCTCTACGAATTGTATAGAAAGTAATACCGATATTAAAGCATGTTTATGTTAAATTACATTTATTTCTTTTTAATTTTTCTTAGCCTTTAAAGACCATATAAGCACTGCAAAAATTGAACGAACACAATTTAACTTTGTTATATATTTCCAATTACATCGAATTTTTTATTCAGAAGTTGCTTAATTCAAGATGAAACTTCATTACTTTGTTTTTTACGTCTTTTTTTCGGAAAGTAAACGAGCCTTATTATTTTCCCCAGGCAACGAACATGTCACAGACATTTTACAGAAATAATAAAGCGTTCGCAATAAAACTTCCACCAAATAAATACCCAGTGACATAGGTAAACTCTTCGTGACGCTGAACCGAATTAAACTTGCCAGTATTTGGTTATCCTTATTATTGTGTTAATATTTATTTGTATAAAACATGTCATGTTGTGGCAGCCCACTCTTAATTAAATATGTGTGTTGCGGGTGAAAAAGAACTAACTTGGAGAAGAGGTCAAGGACGATAGTGTTGGTTGTTGGTTCCGCCTTCCGAGCTAAGTGTGAGGAGCAATTCGCTGGAGAAACGTTTACCTGTGTTGGGAATGCCCTAATTGCTACCTTGCTTCCTAATTACGTAATATGAAGTGTGTGTATGCTTCCCATAGGATCGTGGGAGTGTATGTTAAAAGTTAAAACTGTCTAGAGTCTAGGGCATGGTTTACTACAGTCGAATTAGAGTTTGAACGTGAAAAAATATCAAAAAAGTAACTCGAAAAAAATGACGCGAAGTTGGAAAATTGCAAATAAGTGACAAATTTACGTGTTTTTCACGTTTTTTACTGTCCACGAAAATCTAGACGAATTTGCCAACTTAGCGTCACTTCTTTCGAGTTACTTTTTTAACATTATCATTCTGCATACCCTTTCCCGTCATAAAGTGCCATAGAATATCTACTGTCTACTAATAATGTTTTCAAATTTTCAAGTTTTATGATCTAATTCGACTGGAGTATTTCGCCAGCAAGATTTTGACTCGGATTTACTGAGAGATTGTTGACTAACTTAAGTGAAGTACTTACATTATAAACCATTTCTTTCAACGCAAATTAAAGACTACAGTTTTTCTTTTATCATATTTTCATTTATTATGGGACTTTGTAAAACTTACAATATATCTGTAAATGAGCTACACGTTAAGTTTTTATAGCAAACTTCTCATTACCTTGAGTTAAAAAAAATAATAAAAATAATATTGATGTCTCTGGCTCTACCGGCTCAGCACAATGCCTAGTTCAATACGCAAACGATATAAAACCAAATAGAAAATCTGTAGAGTCGTTTTGATTATGATCGAGTCTATTAAATTCCTAAATTAAGTTTAATGAACGCGTCGGGTAATGTGTATAAAATTTTTATTAAAGCGGTATCAATTGAAATTTTAGCATTTGCCAATCATATATAAAAGGACATACAAAGGCCGCTTCACATTAAAACTGTAATAGCGTTAAATATAAACACTCAGTGATTCTGAACAATTATGAACTTGTTTGTTTCAAAAAGGATAACTTTATCTTGTTATATTAAACCATATCACGCAAAAAGAGACAAAGCTGTTCCTCCCACAATATACACCATTCGTTCATTATTTATTAGTACGTATTTTAATTTCACTCTCACTATTTACATTTCCTACATCATGTCTTTGTCTAATATTCTGAAAAAATGAATCTTTTTATGCTTATAGAAAAAGAGTCATATATTTTTGAAAGTGGAGTCGTTTTCTACAACTCATTTGTTATTGGCTTTTTTCACCTTAACTTCTCATAAAATAGTATTCTATTATTTTTTTCAGATATTAATCAGTGACAATGGAACACCTCCCTTGTCTTCAATAACGAGAGTAGTCGTCAAAGTTGAGGATATCAACGACAATACTCCAGAATTTGAACAAATATCCTACGATGTCCAAATTCCAGCCAGTGGTACTGAAATAGACCAGCCAATGTTCCAGGTATATTTTTTTCTCATTAGATGTGCCTATTTTGTATACTAATTAATTTACCTACACAGACGGAACATGGCGTCGTATTTTTTCAGCTGTCTAAAAGAGTTCTATTCAACTAAGTAAAAGTGAAATAGTGGATAAGTAATAAATTGTTGAATTAGACAAAATGTGTATCTGAAAAAGTGGCAATCCGGCAACAATGCAATTGCTCTCATCACTCATTAGTACAGTCTCGTCACTAAGAAATTTGAAAATAATTTAAACACCCTGTATGTACGTAAAGAAAATCCATGATCATGTCGTTTTCGTCAATATGGTTTCCAAAATTTAAAAAAATCCATTTAATATTTTTAGTTTCAAACAGCTCGAGATATTGTTAACAAATTTGGTACCTATATGTTTTTAGTATGTTAATAGATATACGTATTTCTTTCAAAATATCGAATCTGTGCGCTATTGACAACATACATCGGAATAATACACACACTGAACAAATAAATTTTGTCATGTACTAAAACTACCCCGTCCGGCAGCTGTAAGAGTCAATATTTTTATGCATTTTATCTTAACTGATAAGAACTCCAGTTTAAAATTACGCCACTATCGACCGCCTATCCACCATCATCATGTCTTTTGCCCTTGGATGTCAAATTTAACACAACCCACGTAAAAAGTACAGGGGGTACAACAGTTAAATAACACCTTATATAACTTCAAAGATAATAATGATTAAGGACATCATTGAAATGTATTCATGCAGTTCGCTACCGAAATGCGACGCCATGTTCATCGCTAGACAGCTAATCGATCGTCGGATATTCCAAGACTCGGAAATTATTTCTTGTAAATATCTAGACCCCGCTCCCCCTAACATGTCGACATTGTCCTAATAGTAGATGACTTGTGATCGAATCATTTGCAGTGATTGATGATTTTATTTTTGGTAGCAAGTACCCGAACCCTTTGATTATAGATAAACGACTTTAATTAATGGTCTGGTATCTCCCGAAACCCCCCTCCGGAATGATTGATGGACTGTTAAAATTGAGTTACTTCTTTTAATTGTATCTACCCCCCCGTAAATCGATTCCACCCGCACTAACTGATTTTGATGGTTCGAGTAGTTCTGTTTGGAGTTCGGTTGGTTCGAATGACCGCCTGACGAATTTCGGGCTTCGGCAAATGAAATGCAACGGTTTGTTTGTCTCGTGATTCCACGATTTTCTAGACGGGGGAGGCGCAGATAGCGTGAATAACGCAACCGTTAAAGTTGGAAACAAATGTTTAACAAAACTATTAACCTGCGATCGCCCAGTGTCCCATCGTATTAAAAAACGGTTATAAAAGGCGTCCGCAAATTTTACCGACAACGTTTGAGTGCATATTCACGACGATAAATAAATACAATTTGAAAAAAAGTTAAATAAAATTTTTTTGATTTTTGAGTTACAGTACTGACCTTCAAATTTGTCAAAAATAAAACTAATTTAATTAAATTCTAACCAATATGTTTGAATAAGGCAAAGACCAACAAATTTAGCAGTATCGATCTGAAATATATGCGGGAACAATTTTCTTTTCTGAAGTGGTCAAGAAAAGTAGTACCTATTACCCTTTAATATGATGGATATTTTAATAATCTATTAAACGACATTATAAGAGAACTTTATAAATAAAAGCATAAAAAATGCAGATATAATAATATAACAATAAAATAACAAAATAAAATTCTAGTATTAACATAAATAATATTGAAAAAAACCATAATATCAATTCCAAAAGTAATACCACATCTAAAGACATTCACCCAGTCAGTTTCCGGTACTCCACTGTCACTATCACTATCACTATTACCGACATTGATAATAAAAGGATCAATGACTTCATCAACCATATTATCTACATCCCACATTTTCTTTTCCTCTTTTTCAGCGTGATTAATACACTTTCTCCAGTCTTCTGTTGTAACGTTTTCTAATGCTTTCTTAAGATGGCGTTGAACATCAGCCAATTTAAATGATATATTTTCTCGAGCCACTTCCTCTTTAACTTGTGCCCAAATTAACTCGATTGAGTTTAGTTCACAATGATAGGAGGGCAATCTTAGTACGGCTTGGTGCTAATTCATCCACAGCGAGTTTCTGATATTTATGGGCATGTAGTTTCACAAGCTGAAGCAATTCTGCTTTTAAGATGGTTTCATCATAAGGAACACCTTTGTCCCGTAACCATTCTTGAATCCTTGCCTTCCTCCATGACTGTTGTGGCGTTAATTCGCATTTTCTATTATGGTAAGAGGTATTATCCATAACGGCGACAGATCCTGGTACCGAATTTTCAATAATTTGTCCAAACCACTTCTCGTACACCTCTTCCGTTTTCTTTAATTGAAATATTAATTCACAATTTAAGACAAATCCATCTTCGCTTTCTAAATGAATAATTATCAAACGGCGACCTTTTCCAGATGGCATTTTTAAGCCTGTTGACCAGCCTTCAATAGCTGTTTGCGGTGCATTTTTCACGTTTTCATCCTGCCATACTTTTTTCGCCGTGTGCCCCTCGTTGACCCATGTTTCATCTGTATAATAAATTTTCTTTCCTAATGTTGGTAATTCATTTTTCATAAAAAAAAAGTATGAACAATTCTTCTTATGACATATTTCGCATCTTCGTCAACTTCTATTTCTAGTAGTACTTCTCCATGCACTTTTTGTTCTCTAAGGATTTTATATACATTAGTCTTTGAAGCTCCTGTATAGTCCGTGCACATATCTGTTAACTCTTGTTTTGAAGGCCCTGGGTGATCTCTTTGGAGGCAATGAAATAAACGTAAAATAATTTTCTTTTCACTTACCGTTCGAGTGGCCGTCCTTTTTGCGTCTGTCGATGATGACGATTCTGACACACCTTCCATCGTTGGATAATTTATTTCATTTTACCACCACAGAGATAGGCCGTTAATAAAACTAACAATAAAAAAAATACGCGCGGATTTACCTACACCGACGACCATAGCGTTAAAAGGATTTCACTGAACTGCCGGTATTGAGCCAACAACAAAGATAAATTTATGCTCATAAAACGTGTTAATAAAAGATAGCTAGATCACATGGATCGCTAGATTGGCGACGTTGCTACTCATTTAGGAAAATTATAAAGTACAATAATAAGTGAACAAGTCGAAATATATTTTATTAAAAGAATTTTTGTATATTTGGCGTATTAGACCAGGCAAGTTAGCCTATAAATCAGCAATTTTTTTCTGATGAACCAATCGAGTTGCGGTTTTTGGCATTGGCTTCGGAAAAATATCAGGAAAAAAGTCTATATATTACACTTTGGGACTGGATCGAAACTGCATTGCGGGTGCATAAAGTGCATTTGGAGTGCATCAATTTTTCCGAATTTTCTAAAAATGGTGAAAATTGACTAAAAGTTGTAGAAATTTGGTTTTCGGGGTCGAAGATTCCGAATCTGACCCTGAAAAATATGCCCGACGGCCTTGGGGGCCCCCAGGGGGGCAAGCGGGAGCCTTCTGTAAAACATCGAATAGCTGAGTAATTGCCTTCTAAATACCTCGGGGGTTTTTGGGGTCGGGGAGAAAAATATGCCCGACGGCCTTGGGGGCCCCCAGGGGGGCAAGCGGGAGCCTTCTGTAAAACATCGAATAGCTGAGTAATTGCCTTCTAAATACCCACTCGGGGGTTTTTGGGGTCGGGGATTTCGATTCCGACAGTGAAACGTATATCCAGCGCCCCTGGGGCCCTCCAGGGGGGGGCAAGGGGGCCTTCTGTAAAACACCGAATAGCTGAGTAATTAATTGCCTTCTAAATTTCCACTCGGGGATTTTTGGGGTCGGGGATTTCAATTCTGACACTGAAAAGTATGCCCGATGCCCCTGGAGCCCCCAGGGGGCAAGGGGGGGCTTCTGTAAAACATCGAATAGCTGAGTAATTGCCTTCTAAATTTCCACTCGGGGTTTTTTGTGGTCGGGGATTCCGATTCTGACACTAAAAGTATGCCCAACGCCCGTGGGGTGGGCTTTCTGGAAAACATCGAAAGGCACATCAGATTTTTGCAATAAAACTGCTCCACCCGCTTACCAACCATGTTCTTGTAGGCTTATCTTTACATTGTAACACACGTAAATTTACAGAGATTAGACAAGAAGGGTAAGAAAAACTAACAGGAAATTAATGAGTCGAAAAGAATCCACTTTATTCTGAGAACAAATTTTCTTTTTATTTGCAAGGCAATTAGTGAGACAACTACTATCATATGTTTATCTAACACTTTCACTATCAATCACAATTTTCATCATCAGTACTGCCATCACTGTCTCCATCTATCTATCATCTATTACATTTTCGACTATTTCAGTATTGGAACAGTTGGTTTCAAAACAATTTGTACATGTAATTCCATGCTTCCTGCACCCACAAGATCTGCATCGGATAATAATCGGATTTTGTCGCCTAATTGTTATGCATTATCCGCAGTCGCACGGGCCCAAGAGATTCTTTTGAAAATCCATGATCCATGAAATATTCTTCGGTTTTAAGAAATATTTCTTTGATTTAACGATATGTATCTCTTGGGGACGGATTGTCCAGGATTTCTCCAATTCTAATACAATTTTTCTCAGTGATAGACAGGCTAAGATTAATGGATATTTTCCAGTGTCAGATTTGGAATCCCCGATCCCAAAAACTCTCGAGTAGAAATTTAGAAGGTAATTACTCAGCTGTTCGATGTTTTACAGAAGGCCCCCCCTTGCCACCCTGGGAGGGGGGCAGGGGCGGCGGACATAAGTTTCTGTGTCAGAATCGAAATCCCCGACCCCAAAAACCCCCGAGTGGGGATTTAGAAGGCAATTACTCAGCTATTCGATGTTTTACAGAAGGCCCCCCGCTTGCCCCCCTGGGGGGGGCTCCAGGGCCGTTGGGCATTTTTTTCAGGGTCAGATTCGGAATCTCCGACTCCGAAAACTCCTGCACACAAATTTCTACAACTTTTAGTCAATTTTTACCAATTTTAGAAAATTCGGAAAAATTGATGCACTCCAAGATGCACTTTATGCACCCGCAATGCAGTTTCGATCCAGCCCCAAAGTGTAATATATAGACTTTTTTCCTGATATTTTTCCTAAGACAATGCCGAAAACCGCAACTCAATCGGTTCATCAGAAAAAAAATTCCGTATTCTGGGTGATTTTGGTCTAACTTGCCTAGACTATAAATAACAAACACTCGAGCATAAACGACATGTTTTTATAACAAAACGCATTTATGTAGCAAATTATTTATGCCTACAATATTATTCGTTTAATGCAAGAACTTGCCGTGTGTCTTACTAATACTAATCCTCAGTAGATATTACAAAAACTTTTCTTTAAATAATATTATATTTTAATAGTAGGTACCGAATTATTTAAAAAGATTTAAATTTAAATTTAAGAATTTAATGTGACAATGTTTCTCGTTTGTAGTGGACTTTGCCCTATTCAAACATATAGGTTGGTTAGAGTATAATAACTTCATAATCCTTTTACCGATCGCGTTAAAATTTGGCACATTTATTTGGACTATTATGAAGTATTATTTCTTAGAACTTTAGTCAAATCGATATAATGGGTGGTAGTTTTCTCCAGTTACCTCCCCCTTTTAGCGGTCAAAACTTTTACAGTAGTCATATATTTTTGAAAAGAGCAGCAACATTGAAAAGGTGGTTTTATCTAAAAAAATAATTGTCACTGAGAAAATCGAAGACAGAAAACCATTCTTGAGAAAAATGGCATTATTTACAGGTCTGTATGTTTCTGTTTGCGTAGCAGTGTCAAGGATTTAAAATACTGCCGTCTATAAATTCTATATCTTTATAAAAATTGCAAATCTCGTGCGAATTTATGCGCGTCCGGTTTTAAATTCGGTCACCTCATCACTTTTCGCCACTCACTGAATAATTAGCCCACCATTTGAAATTTGAATCATACATTTTTGACTTATTAGAAAGACTCGCCGGACGATTTCGACGGAGCTGACGCAGCCCTCGACGACGACACGTGGGAAACTTACGGTCCTGCTGACATGGTCGGCCTGGACCGCATCCTGCGGGTAAGCGGGAATGAGATCATGCCACGAACAACTAACTAGACATCAATCGAGGACATTCTGTTTCTGTTGGGACACAGGAACGGTCTCTGTAGGCTGCTTGTTGTGGTTGCGCTACACCGAGAAAACAGTTTATTTGTGTTTAATAAATAGCACAGTCGAAGAATCGAATACAGGTGGCGAAATGCCAGTTTAATTTCAAATTGTGCATTTTAAAATTATAAGTCGATTTACCTAAATTTGCCTTTATACAAGACTTACTAAATTATGTATTACTAAAAATAGTGATAATTTTCAATAAGAAGAAGCACTATTACTCCAGAATTAGATCATAAAACTTGAAAACTTGAAAAAATTTTACTTTTTTACTGTCCACGAAAAACTAGACGACCTGTCGAAAAATGAGTTATTTTGTTGTATGCAACTAAATTACCTACAATTTAAAGTACCTAGAGTCATTTTTCACTAATTTGTTAACTGTTAACTAAACGTTAAATTTAGAAGTTAATATCATAGATATAGTTTCAAATTGATCTAAGAATCGTATCGAAAAAGAAAAATTTCAAAATTACGATATACTACTTTCTAAAAACAAACAAATCAATGTTGCCAACAATTGGGGATTTATAAAATAAAACTAGTATTAGCTCCATACAATTAAAAAAATCATTGGTAATCACGCCTGTAATTCAAACGGACAATAAAAAACAATGCCGATTTCTAATAAGACGTCTTAAATTTGTTCTGAAATTCGTAACATTTCACACACCATAAGAAACTGGCATCGTCATGAAAATTTTCGGTGGCCCGCATTACGTTGGGGCGTCTCGTAAATTTATGAAAACCAAACTAACAAGCAGACACACGAGATCGTGACCAGCCCTATTCATAGCTCGATGTTCTGCATGACGTTTTTAATCCTTTGTACTTTTTCGAGTTACGGTAATTAACTTGTTCTGTGTGTGTTGCACGAAAGCATCTCATTGTTTTATTTTTTTTCGTCATGCTGTGCCCTCCTCTTGCCGACATTCTGCATGCGGTTTACTAAGTGCATGGGTTTTTTTTTATGTATACCAGCATCTGGACAGCTTGGCTGTAAGTAGATAGTGCCTGTACCCGTTTGTGACAAATTTTTTTAGTCTAATTAAATGAGTATCCTATTTTTTAGGTTTGAATAGTTATTTTTACAACAAAACACATTTGCACACGTTTTTTGTAAGATCAACTACATAATAGCGAAAAATAGCTTCCTAATTCAGAAATTGTTTTTGCAGCTTGAAAATATGTGAAGTAAAAGCTTAAGAAAAGCACTTGCTATTCGCTACAATAGAATCTGCTAAATTGCTAAAGATAAATGTTAATACTTTTTAAATAGCTCTAGAATACATGAATACATAATATGTAATTTAAGAATACAAAATTTAATTTGTATAAAAATTGACGATTGACACAGCTGTAGCTTATTTGAAAAATATGTGGTCTATTTAAATAATGTCAATCTACTTAAAAACAGTTGAATATTTTAGCGAAAACATAAATTTATCAAAAAAATAAAATATTTGGAAAATACGAAGAAAAATATTACTGTTTTCATGTTCGCTTTGAGCTGATCTCATGATACCTAAAAATTTGGGTACTTTAGACTAGAATTTTTTAGTTTGTCTTCAACGGATACACTATCTACTGCGGTAGATGCATTTTTAGGTTCACTGAGAATAAAAGCGCTCTATATTGCTATGTAGATTTTATTATGTTTGAAATAAAGAAATCGAAAAATCGCATAATTCTTCAAATTTTATTAACAGGAACCTTTAAATGATTTACTGCTTTTAGAAAAAGCTGTTCTTTTATTGCTTATTTTATTAATTTTTATTATATAATCGATATTTGAGAAATTTAACACTGAACAATTTTCTCTATTTTGTACCTACTAAGAGCATTTCAATTTTCAACTCTCTAAGAAAATTTTTATTTACATATTTTTAAGCCATGTTTTAACTTAATGGAACATAGGAATTTAATTTATTTTCAATATTGTCATCGTCTAAATCAGATTTTATTTTAAATACGTGTTTTTAAGAAAAGTTAAAATGGTAAAATAAAAATTCATCAAACAAAATTTTGTAGAATTCAATTTATTTTAAATTTTTGTTAAACAAGTGTAATTGTATAGGATGAAAATGATAAAAAACAGTAGTTTATTGTTTTCAATGTAGGTACATTTTAAAAATAAACGAAACTATGTTTAAAGCAAATGCAAAAAATAAACATTTTACTAGAGGGTGAAAAATAATGTGTATAAAACTAAAAATATTTTTTTTTATGTCAAATACCTACCACAAATTTAGGAAGTCACATAATTGCTTTCGAGTTTAATTAGTCTAAGTAAAAACTAGTATGTCTACATAAAAAATATATAAAATAAGCAACAAGATAGTTTTTTTCTCTGTTCTGTCCAGATTTGTTCATCAATTTTTTTATACACCATAATCTTTTATAATCATTAACTCATGCACACAATCAAAATGTATTTTGAATACATATTTTCCAAAGAATCATCTCATTAAACTGACCTAATAATAAATATAAAAGGAAAAGGTATTTACTTTCGTATAATATCTATAGCTTAATTATATTTTTTTCTCTCTGTCTGTAACTCTACTTGGTTTACATGTGCATTTTTTTAAGAAAGTTTAGTACAAATTATTATAACACAATAATTTGTTAAACGACCACTAAACATTTTGAAAAAATCAAAGGTAGACACATTTCATTTTTATTAAAAATTTTTGGGTAGGTCCTTGCGTTTGATAGAGATATAGGACAGAATGCTAAGCTACGCTACCACATAAAATCCGGAAAAGGAAGATCGAAATTTAAAATCGACAACAGTACAGGAATCGTCTACGCTCAGAAAGGATTTGAACCTGGGCAGGAATACGAGCTCAATGTAAGTATTTAGGTAGAAAAAAATGAAATAATTTTAATGTTTCCCCAATGTTTCATTGTAGATCAAAGTCAGCGATGGAGGAAATATCTCGAAACACAGCATCTGCAAGGTGTCTGTTCACATCGTTCCAGTACCAGCCACTTCCAAAAACCCGCCAGAGGTGAAAATCCCTCAACCTGTCAAATTGACAGAGAGCGAAGAGATCGGATTTTTGGTTGCCTCTATTTCAGCAACTGACCCAGACAATGATACCCTCTGGTACGATATTGTTGGTAAGTAATTTTGATTTTAATATCCGTATCTAAGAATATTTCTATTGTACAGATGGGATTACAACAAATAATATTAAAGGAAATGCCAGTGGATTTTATTAACATTAGTTTGGCCTAATGTTAACCAGATAAAAAGAATAATTTATCTGCTCTCACTATAGTAAAAAGACTATTAATACATTGTTTTTAACGAGGCAAGTGGATTTGACCGTTGCTATGGGCAACGGGAGGTAAGTGAGATAACTTACCTCCCTAGGGAAAAAAGCGGTTTTGAGCTATAAATGCATATTATATTAACCGGAGACTCAATATTATCTGACTGATCCATTAAAACAGCATCATGCGACGTGCTACTAGAATCTGGAGTTGAAGTGTCATTGAAAAGAATCCTGTTGGCTATTTAATTTTTGTTACTTAAACTGTCAGCAACATAACTTTCTGCAATTGTGGCTGATTTCCACCCACCATGTCTCTTGGTTGCTAATACTCCTGTATTAGCCAGTAACGTTGCCGATGTTCTTCGGAATTAATAATGGCCTGTATATATTTCAGGATGTTCTAGTTTAAAAAACTGTGCATTACGAGTCATAGAAAGGGTATCCTTGCCGACAATACACGATAGCGCATAAAAAAGCGTTTCAGTTTTAATTTGCAGTCTAATCTTGATATATTTCTTGAGAATTTCTAGGTGAAAAACAGAACCCAGACGAGAAGTAATTGTAAACGAACGTGACATACCATTTTTAGAATCAGAAGTTGTACTTTCGATTTCTCGGGCAATAAAAATTCACAGGCAGCTAAATTCAAAACCAGTAAAATTGCAACTTTTATATAACTTTGTTTATAAACACCTTAGAAACGACAAAATCCAAACAACCAAGGCGACTTTGCAAGATTTCGAATAATGCCAAAATGAATTGATTAAGAAATGTCAAAAAATAAAACCTAATCTTTATTTCATGAACCACAAAGAACTATGTGAACAGATAAAATATTATACACCAAGCAACAGTTAAGTATAATTTACCAGTCTCGACTCTGTTGCCTCCTTTATGGTGTAAATAATAACTATTCTATTAAAAATTTTTTAATTTTCACTTTCCAGTTTTGGTCTTAGGGTATATTTAAACTTCATTTTTTTTGCTTATTTTAATGCACTATTACCACTTAATAATCTAAGTGGTAATAGTACCTTTAACAACTATTTTCTTATAGATGGTGACGATCGCAATGAGTTCTACATCGGTAGGGACGTCGGCAACATCCTAATCGCCCAAAAATTAGACTGCGAGATACAGAGCGAATACACCTTAAACATAAGCATCACCGACACCATATACACCATTTATATTCCACTCAACATATCCGTACTGGACATCAACGACCACCGACCAGAGTTTTCAGAAAGCTTGTATAAGGTAGAAATATCCGAAGCCGTTCCACTATACACGGAAGTGCTGAAGCTAAAAGCGACTGACAAAGACGATAACGAAAAGCTGATCTACAGTTTTCACTCGGCCGAGAATATCATATCGTTACGTACCTTCTTATTGGACTCGATAACGGGGGTTATATCCCTAGCGGCAAGCTTGGACAGGGAATCCATAAGCGAGCACATCTTAACCGTTATGGTGCGTGACGGGGGTACCCCAGCCAAAAGAAACTTCGCTAGAGTTCAAATAATCGTCCATGACCACAACGACCACAGTCCCCACTTCTCTGACAAGATCCTGGTAGGAAAAGTCTTTGAATCCGCTACCGTAAACAGCGCGGTGCTAAGAGCGTTTGCCGTGGACCACGACAAAGGCGAAAACGCCCGCATAACGTACTCCATCATATCCGGAAACGTTGGGAACGTTTTTACCATCGACCCCGACTTGGGAATCATTAGCATAGCTAGGGATTTAGACTTGACCACCGTCAACGAATACACTTTACATATAAGAGCGACGGATCATGGTCAGCCCGCTTTGTCCTCGACAATACCCGCTCACATAATGCTTACTATGGCGGACAACTCTCCGCCCAAGTTCAATTCTGAGGAGATAGCGGCTGAGATTTATGAAGACCAGCCGTTAGGCAGCTATGTCGCTCATTTGGATGTGAAAAGCACTTCTTCGTTGCAGTTTGAGATTTTGTCGGGCAATAAGGATAGTGCTTTCATCATTAGCCCGAGTACAGGGGTTATAACCACGCAGAAGTACTTGGATTACGAGACTACTAAGTTCTACAATTTATCTGTGATAGCTACTAATATGGTAAGTGGTAGTTTAAGAGTAATTTTCTTGATGAATTAAATTATTTCTTGAAAAATATGGTAGAGATTATTCATACATTAAAATATAGCGGCATACAAAAGTTGCAGAAAGAAATTATTTCATGAAAATCATTAAAATAATCAATTATTTGATTGTCTACCCATTTTTGAACCTCATAAGCGATTTCATTGTTACCTATACTCCGCGGTCGAAATTATAGAGAGTGACTCATCACTAGCTTTTGGACTAGTAAGGGGGATGAAGCGTGCCGGGAACGAAAATCCATTGGCGTGTCTGCGTAAAAGGCAACAAAATATAGAAAATATTGAAAAAAGATAATAAAACATAACATCTAATATTTTTTATGGTTTGCTATAACCGGCACTTTGATCCATTTTAATTATTACAGCATTTTAAAACGTCCCAGTTGTGTTTTTTAATTTATAAATTTTATTATAGCCATGGAATTAGACCCCTAGTCTACGCTTATGCTATGACGTTTCTCAGGAAGGCTAAATCAAGTCCGTTTACACCCACTAAAAAAGCATTTCCCTATTCCCTACCATGTGCAAAAGACAGAGATAGAATATAGATCGACGTTCAATGTAACTCAGTTATAGACAATTGTAGATTCTATCGATATGTGTAGCGAGCGGCACAAAGATAAAAAATATTGAACCGTATAAAAATCATTTTATATTTTATACGCATTATGGTAATAGTGTTTTTATATTATGTCGGAGTCACTCTCTATAATTTCGACCGCGGAGTTATACTTTATATTATGAATATTTATTCGTTCAAAATTCTATAGGCATGTTCAGTATTAATATCTACGAGACATATTCACAAAGTAAGTGTACTAGATTTTTTACAAATCGAAACGGCAGTATATTTATGAACAATTTACATATTCAGAAAGGTCATCAAACACTAGTTTTCTACGGAGTCGCCTTCTTTTTTCCACCCATATACTCTTCAGAGAAGAGAAAAGATGAAAATCAGAAGGTGTCAGATCAGGATTGTCAGGGTAGTTGATGATGTTCCAACCGAATGAATCCAAAAGTTGCCTTGTGGCGTTGATTATGTAGGGACGTGCGTTGTCTTGCAACAAGCACACTGTCTTTGTTCTGTATCGCCCTCCGTAGGTATTTCAGGATTTCACAGTACCGTGTAGCATTAATTGTTTCCGCTGGGGCAAAAGGTCAATGAGAAGAATCCCTTGACGGTCCCAAACCACTGTTGTTGTGGTTATTTTTGCCGAAACAATGGTTTTGAATTTTTTTCGCAGATGATAAAAGCGGAAGTCGCCACTGCATTGATTGTCTTTTCCTCTCACGGGTGTAGAGCGTCACCCAAGTTTTGTTGTCAGTCACAATGCAGTCGAGGAATTGTTCACCTTCCAGTTCGAAGCGCTTGAGAAATTTCTATGACGATGCGATTCTGTTGGCTGTGTGTTGATCCGTAAGCTGTTTTGGTACCTCGCACACAATTTTTAATAATTGTTTCATTAATTATTTCATGCAAAAGGGATCTGGAGCTTTGTGCGTTCATCTCATCTAAAGTCAATCGAAGGTCGCCACGGAGCATATTTCTTCGATTTTGTTCACCATCTCATCAGTCAGGAGGGACACCCACTCATTTGTTCATCTTGAACATTTGTTATGCCAGCTTTATACTCATGACACCACTTGTACACTTTAGTACAATTTATAGCACCATCCCCATAAACAATTTTGATTTCACTAAAAATCTGGAATGGCGATTACCTTTTTGTAAGAAGAAACCAGATTACACTCCTCACCTCGCAGCTGGCGGGATTCGGAATAGCGGCACTCACTTCAACATGCCACTACAACAACAGTTCTCAACTGACTAAGACAAATGAGCACACGTTCTTCTCACAACACCTTGGCCTTGAATGCAGTGTTGCCAACTTTGTTGAAAACAAAAACCACAGAACATCAGAGTCTAGGTACTCTTACTTTACGGATATGCTTCGTAGATCTCTGTCTCTTTTAATCTTTTGTATGTTAATACTAAACTTACCTTATAATATTACAATTACCCATTTGTTTTTTAAGGTCCCTTTCCCTACTTTCATTGAATGTTTTCTCTTTTCTTTCATTTACTTCTTCCTCTACGATTTGTTTCGCTTTCTCTTATTTCTTTTTAACACACCAATTTTTGAAAAATAAAAAAGTTCTGCTCATAGGTCCATGGTTTATGGTTTATTTTGTTCATTACTTTTTATATCTTTTTTGTCTTGTGCCATGGTTATGCTCTTGCTCTTATATATTATTTCACACTTGCAGGCCTCTATATCAGCATCTTGCAACGTGATCATCCATATATTAGATAAGAACGACAACGTCCCCGAGTTTCTACAATCACACTACGCCGGAATTATCAGCGAATCTGCCCCCATAAAATCACTAGTTTTAACGAACACGAGTGAGCCGCTCGTGATCAAGGCCTTTGATGCAGATTCGGAAGGAAATGCCTTATTACATTACGAGATCATCGAGATCTTACCTAGACGTTATTTCGAAATCGACTCTAACACCGGTGCTATTAGGACTATAAGATTATTAGACCATGAGACGTACAGTAGTTTCTCGTTTCACGTAGAAGTTTCCGATCTAGGAAAACCTAGGCTTTCGTCAGAAACCACCGCCAAAGTAGATATCGTCGTTACGGATGTAAATGATTGTTCACCTGTGTTCTCGAGTCCCGTTTACAACGTAACATTGCTATTACCTTCATATAAAAATGTTGCAGTGATTCAGGTTAATGCGACAGACCCAGATAGCTCAGAAAGCGGTGCCTTGAAGTATGACATAATAGAAGGAAATAAACTGGGCATTTTTGACATCAATTCCAAAACTGGTCTAATAACTCTTGTAAAACCGGACAACTTAAAACCTTCCTACAAACTCCAAGTTAGAGTCTCCGATGGCCAGTTCGGAAGCGTCGCTAAAGTCTACATCCGCGTAGAAGAGTCTGATAATTCCGGATTGGTGTTCCAAAAACCTTTCTACGAGGGATCAATCATGGAAAACTCCACAAAAATTACCCACGTGTGCGTAGTTAACGTTCTGGGGAGTGCCTTAAATGAACATTTAGAGTTTAGGATCTTAAATCCCACCGATATGTTCACCATAGGTCCAACATCGGGCGTGATACGGACCACCGGGCTTAAGTTTGACAGGGAAGTCCAAGACAAGTACGAACTTATCGTAGAAGCCAGAAGCAACATGCCGCCTAGAGATCGTCCTAGAGTTGCTCATGTCATAGTCAACGTTACCATCCTGGACATTAACGACAATTGTCCGATGTTCGTCAATTTGCCTTACTACGCGGTGGTGTCTGTGGATGACGAGAAAGGCAGTATCATTACCAAAGTGCATGCTATAGATATGGATAGTGCCGAGAATGGGGAAGTACGTTATGAACTTATTAAAGGACACGGGGAGCTGTTCAAAGTTCACAGGGAGACGGGAGATATCGAAATTAAGCAAAATTTAGAGGGACACAACAAGGAATACGAACTACTTATAGCTGCTTACGATAAAGGTATTTTTTCTGCATTTACTATTATTATTTTTGTAGGATTAATTAATGTCGATATTTTTCAAAATTTTTTAAATGTTTTCAAAGAAAAAATATAGCGCAACTTAATTTAATTTTTTTTATTGAAGCACTATACATATTCTCTCTTCCCATAATTACGGTGATATAAAGGTTGATAGGTCTATTAAAAAAGTTACACCTTAAGTTACACTTGCGTTGCTTCAAATTCAACTTTCTGTGAATCAAGTTCAGTTTTTTAAAAATTGAATTTACTTTTTTTAAAACCAAATTGAACTTTTTATAAACTGCATTCAACTTTTTTTACCATTCAATTTAACTTTCACAAAACAAATTCAACCTATTCAATATCAAATTCATTTTTTTACAAGCCACCCTCAACTGTTGCAAATCGAATTCAACTTTTTACAAGTCACATTCATTCATTTACAAATCAAATTAATCTTTTTACAAGTTAAATTCAACTTTTTGCAAATCAAATTTGTCTTTCTACAAATCAAATTCACATTTTTACAGATCAAGCTCACCTTTTTGCACATCAAATTCAATTTTTTACAAGTCAAATTGTCGTTTTTGCAAACAAAATCCATCAGTTTATGAATAAAATATAATCTTACAAATCAAAATCACTTTTTCACAAGTGAAATTTAACTAATTACAAATTGAATTAAATTTTTTGCAAATCAAGTTCAACTTTTTTACAAATAATCTTTTATAAATCAAATTCACTTTTTGACCAATCAAATTTACATTTTTACATATCACATTCCCCATTTTGTACATCATACTCCTCTTTTTACAAGTCAAATTGTCATTTTTAAACCAAATTCATCCGTTTATGAATCAAATTCCCTCATTTATAAATCAAGCTCACCTTTTCACAAGTCAAATTATTTAACTTTCACAAGTCGAATTCAACTTATTACAAAAATCAAATTCAATTTTTTGCAAATCAAATTCAAATTTTTGCAAATCAAATTCGCCTTTCATAAATCAAATTCACTTTTTCATAAATCAAATTCAGTATTTCATAAATCAAATTAAGCATTTAACATTTCGGCAGATCAAATTCACCTTTTGGCAAATTCAAATTTTTACATTTCAAATTATCGTTGTTACAAACAAATTCATCCATTTATGAACCAAATTCACTCATTTACAAACCAGTCATCTTTTCACAAGTCAATTCAACTTATTACAAATCAAATTCAATTTTTTACTAATCAAATTCATCTTATTACAAGCTAAATTCAACTTTTTGCAAATCAAATTCAACTTTTTTTAATTAATTATAACATTTTGGTAATCAAATTCTCTTCACAAATCAAATTTACTTTTCTACAAATCAAGTTCACATTTTTACAGATCAAGCTCACCTCTTTGCACATCAAATTCTACTTTTTACAAGTCAAATTGTCGTTTTTACAAACCAAATCCATCAGTTTATGAATAAAATTCAATCTTACAAATCAAAATCACCTTTTCATGAGTGAATTTGAACTAATTACAAATTGAATTAAATTTTTTGCAAATGAAGTTCAACTTTTTACAAATAAAATTCTCCATTTATAAATCAAATTCACTTTTTGACCAATCAAATTTACATTTTTACATATCAAATTCCCCTTTTTGTACATCATACTCCTCTTTTTACAAGTCAAATTGTCATTTTTTAAACAAATTCAACTTATTACAAAAATCAAACTCAATTTTTTGCAAATCAAATTCTACTTTTTAGAAATCAAATTCGCCTTTCATAAAGCAAATTCACTTTTTCATAAATCAAAGTAAGCATTTCACTTTTTTGCAGATCAAATTCATCTTTTGGCAAATTCAAATTTTTACATATCAAATTATCGTTTTTACAAACAAATTCATCCATTTATGAATCAAATTCACTCATTTAAAAAACCAAAATGACCTTTTCACAAGTCAGTTCAACTTATTACAAATCAAATTAAATTTTTTAGAAATCAAGTTCATCTTTTTACAAGCTAAATTCAACTCTTTGCAAATCATAATCACTTTTTTTAATTAATTTTAACATTTTAGTAATCAAATTCTCTTCACAAATCAAATTTACCTTTCTACAAATCAAATTCACATTTTTACAGATCATTAGAGATCTTTGTCATCAAATTCAACTTTTTACAAGTCAAATTGTCGTTTTTACAAACCAAATTCATCTGTTTATGAATCAAATTCCCTCATTTACAAATCAAGATCACCTTTTCACAAGTCAAATTCAACTTATTACAAAAATCAAATTCAATTTTTTCATAAATCAAATTAAGCATTTCACATGTTTGCAGATCAAATTCACTTTTTTGCAAATTCAAATCTTTACACATCAAATTATCAGTTTTACAAACCAAATTCATCCATTTATTTATGAAACAAATTCACTCATTTAGGTACAAATCAAAATCCCTTTTTACTAATCAAATTCACCTTTCATAAATTAAATTTACGTTTTCATAAATAAAATTTGACATTTAACAAAACAAATTCACCTTTTCACAAATCAAATTCACCTTTTTACAAATCAAATTCACACTGTACATCAAATTCAATTTTTTACAAGTCAAATTATCATATTTATAAAACAAATTTATCCATTTATGAATCAAATTCACTCATTTACAAACCAAAATTACCTTTTCACAAATCAATTCAACTTATTATAAATCAAATTCAATTTTTTACAAATCAAATTCAACTTTTTACAAAGAAAATTCACCTCATAAATCATTCACCCTTTTGCAAATCAAATACACCTTTTCACAAATTAAATATAGTTTTTTACAAATCAAATGGATCCAGTTTCAAATCAGATTACACTTTTTACAAATCCAATTCACACTTTTGGAAATAAAATATTAATATTTTGAGAATATTCTGACCATATTTGCCATACTATTAGAAATAGACCTATCAAATCTTCCGTCACTGTAATATTCTCGCAAAATATATAAATATATATAGGTTTCATTACAAAAATCATATTTAATTGTTAGGGTGTTCTATTATTTAAAGTCAAAATTTGGGGATATGTATTTCTTTAAACGTCATTAAATAAATTCAATCTTTGTGTCTTATGATGTACTACAACATTAACTGTTTTTGGTACTTTTAGGAATGTCACCTTGTAGGACGGACGTTACGGTCCACGTTAAGGTGATAGATAGATCCATGCCAGTTTTCAAGAAACAATTCTACTCTGAAATAATCCCCGAGAACGTGGAGTTGCATTCCCCATTATCTATTTCCATCGAGGCTGAGTCTCCGCTCTCGCGTAAACTTATTTACAGCATAGTAAAGGGCAACGAACTGGAGGAATTTGCACTTGATTTTAACACAGGTGAGTTTAATAATTTTTTCTGTGGTAGTTATTATTTGTCTTTTTTTTTTTTGTTTTTCGGTAGCATTTCTGCCAAGAAAACCGAAAATGTACAAAAACTTGACTGCATTTTTAGTAACTCTTGCAAACGATACAGCAGGTATATCAGTGTTATGTGTGGTTTTCTGAATCATATGTACTTGACTAAAATAGGAACCGTAATATTTTGTGCATGACAATGTGTCATTTTTAATTAAATCACAAAGATGTGTAATCCAGTTACAGAGAAGTAAAAAAAAATGCGAGATAATTAAAAATGATGCTTTCACTGCAAAGTTTTGTTTGATTTTAATTAAAACTAGAAAATTCATTTAGTTCATATTTCTGCTCATTTCAATTAATAATTAGAGTAAAAGAATACTCAGTGAACTAGTTTGGTGTTGGATTTTTCGATACTTACCATCTAAACTAATGTTAATTTTTTAATGCATTTTGTCTTTTGAATTTTTGCTTTTCTAATTATTAATAAGCGTAGAAATTCTTCAAAATATTCTGTTCGGGTTGTAACTAAAATACTTGGACAAACTTTAATGGTGAATTCTTAGGTACACATTACCAAAAAAAGGTCTTATAAACATGTGTCTGGAAACACTTCATTTTATAGGGTGTACATTACAAAAAACAGTTGAAAGAAACTATACATGATATAACTTTGAATGGGGGTCATATTTATATGAAGGTTACGTTTATTTTTTAGAAACACATCCATAAATAATTTATTTTTTGCAAATTCCATCTTGAAAACTTAATTTTTTTTAAACTTTTGTTAATAATTTTCATACACCACCGCTGGACAAGCTAATGTGACCTCAAACAACGGCGGTGCAGTAGTCTCGGCATAAGCACAATTGGGCACTGGGCTATGCATTGTTGTCAAATCTCAAAATTTAAAAGAAACGTTTTAAAAGCAAATTTCCACACCACCCGCCGTGAGATACTGCTCCTTAGCGTGTTACTTTTGTTGGGTGGGTATTCGCCCGGAGCCCTATCATTCCACATAGGCCAAAATTTAGTAATTTTAAAGAAGATAAACTGAAACAGTATTTAACAAGCAATCTAAGTAACAGAAAACTCAAGCAGTAATCAATAATGATAAAGAAAATTCACAAAAATAAGTAATCTGTTTATTCACCTGATTTTTACTATATAAACACAAAATTACGCTGTACTATTACTAAACGCTGAAATATATCACTTTATAAGGTTATACACTTACACCACATAAAGGCACTTTACAAACATCCTCTTGTAAACCGATAAAGTCAAAAACTAAAATGAAAATATAACAAACCCGTTTACCATCACGTCATATCATACCAGGTGTAAAGACAATCTGTCGTTGCTGCCTGTCAAAAGCGGTATAGCATTTCAGCAGCACAGCTGAGGCTAACCTCCATTCACTTCGGAAGCATTCAGAAAATGATGGAACTTTGCTTAAATTTAAACTGTGACAATATTTCAGCTAAACTAGGTCAATGTGAGAGGTCATTGATAAAAACTTGAAACGATTTTTAAAAAAATTATATAAATCTAATTAGTATTTTTCTTTATCTTTTTGTTCGTTTTTAAAACAAAAGAAATTATTATTTTTAAACATAAATTGGTTTTATTTATTTATTTAAAATAACGTGCTAGTGCACACAAATTTTTTCCTTGGACTTTAACACCCTTAAAGATGAAGAATTTGCAAAAACATATTTAAAGAACCTTCTATTTATTAATTTGCGACGTATGTGCCAGTAAATTTGGTTAAGGACATTAGTTACACCCTGTGTACTTTATTTTTGTACCTTTGTTTCTCTAAAATTGTATATTGAATATAGTTTTATAACCCTAATTCCCTTATAAATTTATTAAATTAAATTAAATTTTTTATGAAATTTAATCATTAAATCCACATAGACATTTAGATCTTCGTCAATAAATGATCCATTAATTGTTTATGTAAACTAATTCAAAAATCAGAATGCAATTTTAAGTACCTACTTACCTTTACATAATAACTTTCTTAACCAGTAGATCTTTTGACATATAACATTTAATCTATAAAAACTAACAATATTGTATAAGAAATTTAAACAGAAATAAGGTTATTTATTTTATTAATTTCCTTTCCACAGCCCCAGACAGTAACAATGGTCCCTGTGAGTATTTCAACAAATTAATGTCTTGTTGTAGTTGGGTTCTCGTATTCATGCTTTTGGCAGTCGTTTCGCCACACTAGCTTAGCAGAGTAGCATGCCATACCTTTTTTAGCCTTGTTATCATCCCCATTATATTAACTGCTTTCTTTATTCTTTATGTTGACTAATTTTTGTCACTGTTCTGAAAAATATAAAATATACAGTGTGATTCACAAACGATGACCAAAAATGAAACCTCGCATTCATTGGTGAATTTTAAGGGGAGTCTTTCCTATAAAGTTTTTATCTAGGACGCTTCATTAAAAAGATACAGGGTGTTAAAGTTAAAAAAATATTTTTAATTTTTTTTAATAATTTCAAAACTAGTTAGGGAAATAATTCCCCTCCACTAGAGCATCTATTATTTCAATTACTAGTTTTTACATTATTTAAAAAATTTAAAAATATTTTTTAAGTTTAACACCCTTTATCTTTTTAACGAAGCATCCCAGATAAAAATTTAATACGAAAGACTCCCCTTAAAATTCACCAAAGAATACTGGGTTTCATTTTTGGTGACCATTTGTGAATATATTAGTGTGACAATAAATAAATTTTTTGGTAAATCATCAGAAAACTTTAAAAAAACACGAAGTCTCTATTTTATGTTGTTTTATTATTGCATGCACACTAATGTTGGCGGATTCTGCATGCAGACACTTAATACATTTTTCCCATCCTACTAATCAAAATTTTGTTACATTTTTGCACTATTTTGTATGACAAAAAATTCATTTTTTATTTGTTTTGTTCTAACAAGCCATAGCAATTTTTTTATCATTTCTCCAATACATTTTAAAAATTCATTGCAAGCACTGGCACCATAATGTTAAAAATTAATAACGAATTCCACAATGATTATGTATATTTTTGTGCTGATACTGAACACACACGCTTTGTATGTGTACAAATTATTCGTGTGATAATCAAATAGTTCAAAAATTATTTTCATCTCTAGGTGTGATTTCGGTGGTAGACGAACTAGACTACGAACAACAGTCGCAGTACGAACTACTGATCAGAGCTACCGACTCTGTGTCTGGCGTCTACGCCGAAGTACCAGTGTCAATTGTCCTTCAAGACGTCAATGACTGTCCCCCAGAGTTTACCCAAGAAAGCTACAATGTGTCGATATCTGAAGCTGCTCAATTTGGCACTGCCGTTCTAACTGTATTGGCTATTGATAACGATACCGGAACCAACCAAAAAATACTGTACTCCATACAGAAAGACGAGAATAACGCCACCGAATACTTCTATATCGATGAGAATGAAGGGACGATTTACTTGAAACAGTCTTTGGATCATGAGGAAGCGAGCTCACATCATTTTATCGTCGTCGCTACGGATCAGGGAGTACCTAGCATGGCTAGTACAGCACATGTTTGGTTAAGCGGTAAGTGTTCATACAGTTCATACAGTACAGGGGTTAAAATAAGACAATTTAATTCAATTGCTGTGCTAAGTTGCTCTGTTTAGAAAATAGAAGGTAAAACATTGTAATTTATTTACAGACATAATTTTTTTCACAGCACCAAATTGATGTTTATTGCAACATATTCATGATTTAAATTTATAAATTCATAATTGTAACATACTTTCAAAAGTTAATCTTGTTTAAAAATATCACCAGATTCCTGTCCAAGAAGATATTTTTGAATTTCTTAGAATACCTTTCGGTTTAAGAAATGTACCGTACATTTTTCAAAGATTTGAAGATGAAATTTTAATTTCATGTAAAACTAATGAAATGAATTTGGTACTACCAAACCTCCTTTTCTAAGACATACAATTTTTTCAAAAATTTCTCATTTACAGAAATTAATGACTGTTGGAATACTTTTAATATAGAAAAAACGTGCCATTTTAATATAACAAATCTTTTATGCATCCAACATTGGAATTGGAACAGTTTTGGAAACATTTTAAGATAAATGGATTTCTATGGTGTTTCTCAAAAAAAAATAAACAATTAAACGTAAATGAAATATCCTACTTTTGACCATGAACTTATTGTTATTTATGAATCTATAAATTATAAAAATGAATCTATAATTTTGCATTGTTTTAGTGTTGGATATGAACGACAATGCCCCAAAATTCGACCAATCATCATACTCGTGCGGCTTATCCATAAACGCTAAAAGAGACCAATTCGTCACCATCGTAAAAGCGAGTGACCTCGATGAAGTGGACCAAAACAATCTCCGTTACACGATAGTAGCGGGAAACGAGCAACAAACCTTTTCCATGAATCCCGACACGGGTATAATCACCTTGACTAACTTGGCGAACTTTGGCAACAAGCAAATCATGTTGCTGAATGTTTCTGTGTCCGACGGTGTTTACACGAACTTTGCACGGTTGAAAGTAGAATTGTTGCCGGCAAACTTACATCCGCCTCACTTCGAAGATATTATAAGGGATGTACAGATACCGGAGAATAGGATGCCAGGCTACCCCGTTGCCACGGTCAATGCGACGGATGAAGACATGGGGGAGTTTGGAACTATAACTTACAGCATTCAATCCGATTTGATGAACGATGTATTCTCCATCGATAAGCACTCTGGGAAAATCGTCACTAAGACTAGATTGGATAGGGAGAAGAAAAGAATGTACGAGTTGCTCGTAATTGCAACAGATGGCGGCGGTCTCTCCGATTTTCTAACTGTACGAGTGAGAGTTTTGGACGAAAATGACAACGTCCCAAAATTCTTGCTAAAAGAATATAAAATTAGTATTCACTCAAATCTGACCACTAGTACCAGTTTTGCTAGAGTTAAAGCGATAGATATCGACGAAGGGATAAACGCACAAATAGAATACTCGATATACGAGAAGAAATCTTCCGATGTAGCAAGTATTTTTGGTATAGACACTGCGACGGGAGATTTGTTCCTGCATAAAAATGTTTATTCTTGGGGTAAGTTGAATGTATTAAAATAAAATGTGTTTGAGGTTAGTTTTGTTTGATTTTTCAGTGGGTGAAGTGTTTCAATTCTTCGTCCGAGCCACCGACAAAGGGAGGCCTGAAAAACATGCTGACATTCCAGTCAATATTTTGATTATGGGACCAAACGATTTCCCGCCGGTTTTCGACAGGAGGGATGGGAAATTTTTCTTGTCGGAGAACTCTCCCACAGGTATTTTTCCAATAATACAAGAAAAATTTTATTACCACAATTGTTTATCCATCTCCATTTATTTGAATATTTTACCACCTAAATAAATATTAGTTAAATTAGCCATTGCAATTAAGTGATAATTTTATGAAACAATTTTTATTTTTTTCTACGCATTATAATTAATACTCTCTGAATCTTAAATTGTTTTGAGGCTGTAAAATATTTGGAAGAGCCTAAACTTATCTAATTCACCCTATTTTTTTCTATTCCTAATATGCACTAGCTTAACCCAATGTTACACATTATATCCTTTTAATTGCGGGTGAGATATAACCTACAAAGTAGATTATAACTTTATTGTCGATGCCTACTGTCAAAATATTGCTTTATACCAACGTTGCCAAATTGTTTTCGGGAAAAGCGGGATTTTGAAACCTTTTAAAACCACTTTTGAAAAAAGTGGAATTCTTTCGTCCAAAAACGGGACATACTGAAAAAACGTATATAATCGATAGTTTTTAACTACTAAAGAAAAAAAGGTCTCGGGATATCTAGAAAACAAATATCGGTGTCTAAAAAAAAGGGACGTAATCAGGAAATATCTACTTAATAACAGACCTGTAGAAAATAATTGATGCCTAAAAAAAAGAGCAGGAAAAGCGGGACTGAGCGTGTCCTGCGCAGGACATTTAATTTTCAGTTAAAAATCGGGACGGCTGGCAAAGCTGCTTTATACCTACAGAAGTCTACTAATATACAGGTTCGGAAAGTCCCCATGGTTCATCGGCCGTTACGTGAGAGCGATAAAGTAAGTCATAGAAATCCATGCGATAGAGAAGGATGGCTATAATGAAGGCGTCTCATAGTCACCGCCCGTTTCGCCCTTCCACAAATAAGATCCACTTCCACTTGTAATTCAGCGACCGGTGGTCATCTTTGTTTTTGTTGTTTGCCTTTTCTGTAATAGATGTCACTACTTATACAATTCCGACTTCGGTATTCCGATATGTTAATACAATCCGTTAACAGAGGGCAACACAACGCGTAACAAAAAAAACTTTTTACAGTAGCTAGTAGATACCTCTGTTTGTAAATCTAGTGACTTTGTTTCCCCTACTGAGAAGTTATTCAAATGGAGTATAGTGCTCAGTTGCATTTAAAGTTCATTTAGTTGTTATTTAAGTATACTTTTTAAAATGACTTAAAAATCCCAAGAAAAAAAGCAAAATTCCCTATTTCCCCAATTCCAAAAAATTTGTAGATCTGGCATCACTCTTTCTAGGGCTGCACCTCACCTTAGACAAATTGTGCTGTCCTCTGTTAATGGATTGTATTAACATATCGGAATACTGAAGTCGGAATTGTATAAGTAGTGACATCTATTACAGAAAAGGCAAACGACGAAAGTAAAGATGACCACCGGTCGCTGAATTACAAGTGGAAGTGGATCTTATTTGTGGAAGGGCGAAACGGGCGGTGACTATGAGACGCCTTCATTATAGCCGTCCTTCTCTATCGCACAGATTTCTATGACTTACTTTATCGCTCTCACTTAACGGCCGATGAACCATGGGGACTTTCCGAACCTGTATAAGTACTATGAAGGCATGACTTGTATTGCAATAGATGAGATAAACTCTTAACAAATGGTATGGTATATCTAGTAAACAGCCAAGATCATTTGTTAGTAGAATCACGATAGTTGTTTTCTACAATAATATTATGTAGTTAAAAGCTTGATTTCACTAGTACAAACTAGTCATGCATTTATAGTACCTACAGATTAGTAGGTTGCTCTCTGACAGTAGTTACACTAACAATCAATAGTCAAATCAATAGGTAGAAGAGCTTACAAAAAATACCGCTTGGAAACATAAAATATGGTAATATAGGAAAACAAATTCTAAGAAAGATATTGTTTTTTCTTATGGCGCATAAACGGCGAACTTAACCTAAAAAATTCATAGAAGTCAAAAAAACGTTTTTTCGCTAATAAAAAAAAACTTGAACTCCAATCGAAAAAAGTTAAATGAGAAAGATGTAGCTGTCAAAAAACCTAACGATTCCAATTTTTAAATATATCGATTACTATATTACTTTTCGAGATATATTGAAAAAACCGTCAAAAATCGACTTTTTTGTTTTTGCTGTATCTCTTGCAAATTAAGGTTTTGAAACTTGTTACTGTCTGGAACTGTAGCCTTCGGCAAGCAAAAAAAGCGCCTCTTTTTAAAATTAAAGAATATTAAAAAATTTTCAAGTTATATCGATTTTTCGAAAAGAAAGTCATCTCGAAAATCGACTCTTCTTGCTCTACGAATAATCGTAGAAAAAAGAATCAAGGCTTATTTTTTTCCTTAATAGTTGTACTCTCATGGTACAAAAGAGATGTCTTTGAAAAAAGTACAAATTTTTTGGTCACGTTTTTCTTGAATACCTATTTCGATTTTAATTTTTCGATAATGTCTATTACAGGAATTGATTGGTGGTATATTTACACAAATTTAAAAAGAACTTTTGCTCTACGACCTTTTGAAGCCGAAATAATTTTTATTTTCAAAAATTCCACAGGCCGCTATTTAACTGCTACATTCTTACAGAGATTGAAGTTGAAGACTTACATTTTCAATAAAAAATACTGTAGTTCATTTTTCATTTTTAATTGTGTGTTAAACCGAAGTATTCGATCTCGGCGCGAGCTAACAGTAGCGGGCGGCAGAGTAATGCTACTCGGCCGTTCAAAAATCTTGATTATCTCAGCTTCTGGACCACATACAAAAACCCTGGGGTAGCTTCTAGCAAGAAAAGCCCATTTTCGAGGTGACCTTTTTTTCGAAAAATCAAATACAACTCGAAAATTTTTTAATATTTTTTAATTTTAAAAAGAGGCACTTCTTTTGCTTGCCGAAGGCTACTTTACATCAAGTAACAAGTTCCAAAACCTTAATTTGCAAGAGACACAGTAAAAACAAAAAAAGTCGATTTTTGACGGTTTTTTCAATATCTCTCTTAGAATTTTTTTCCTATATCACCGTATTTTTTGTTTCCACGTGGTATTTTTTGTAAATTTAACATTAGACCATAGCAGATTGATTGGACTCTAAAATATGACATACTTTGTAGGTTACATATTTTACCCACACTCAAAACATGGACATCCAAATAGCTAAATCATTTCTCAGTTGCCTTACTTATTGGCATCCTGGTGAAAACTGATATGTTTAAAACTGATTCGCGTCTTGTGATTATGCTGACGAATAATGTCAACATCTGACGGAGTTGTAGCCCACAAAATAGTTGTTTGACACAATCTAATCTAATTCTTGGTAGATCCAAAACTGTTTATAGCTAAAGTTTATTGTTTGAGGCCCCCATAGAGTGCCTGTGAGCATGGGCGTGTGTATGGCAGCTTTAGAGATCTTGTGTATATCAACTTAAAAGCTGGGTACCCTTGAAGGGTCTTTGCCATAAGTAGGACGGACCTAAGTGGGTATAGCTTGAGTAGCTATGAGAGCTTTGAGCTCAGTTTGCTATTTTTAGAGAGAATATTTTGTAAAAATATTAGATTTATTGATTATATAGTTAATGACAATAAGTAGTATTGATTATTGATCTGCAAGATTCTATACAATGCAAAAATGGCAATAATTTAGATCGAGTACACACTCTGGCCAGGTTCCGAACCCTGGGTATTGAAGGTCAAGTTGACGTTCGATCACAGGATATGGCAGCTCTGTGGGTGGTCCAGATGAAGTCTGTCTTAAATCAGCACCATTTTGGATTTCACTGCCCTTTTGATTTCTGGCCCCTAAGATAAGCCATCAGCCTATGGCTGGTTTCATGGTCATGAATACGATAATTAGTTTAAAATTACAATTTCTGAAAAGTGTTTTCTTAATGTCTTAGCACAAATTGAAATTGTTCTCTTTCAGATAGCATACATTTCACAAGTGTGTTCTCAAATTTTTGACTTATTAAATTCCCGCTTTTCTATATAATCTCTATTCATCTATTCTGACAAGTGACATAAACTTTTTTCATTTCTTAATTTTAATAAAAAAAATTCATAAAGTACAAATTGTCTAAAAAACATCTCTAATGTTAAATTTGTTACCTATTTTCCATATTTTTTTTTTTTTTTTCAATAACAGTAATATATTAAATTTGTTCGCCTTTTTCTACGTGAAATTTTTAGTTAGGCTAAAATTGTTTAACAACGATGAAAGTGTTTGATATAAATGTTGATTATAAACTTTTTCAACTGTGGTAAAATCCTAAATAAACAGAGAAAATACAAAAATTATGCCATGAATAAATAACTTCAAACATATAATCATTTATGTTACAGGTACAATAATTACACGTCTCAAAATCGTATCAAACATCACAACCGTCAATTTCCAAATAATCTCCGACTATGACGAAAGCCCACAATTCCACGTAGATTCTCAAGGTCAAGTTTCCTTGGCTAGACCTTTAAATTTTGAAGCGCAGACTTTCCACCTCATCGGAGTTTTAGCTCTGTCCGACTCCAGTCCTCCTTTGACAGCTTTAGCAGAAATTGTACTGCAAGTTCAGGACGAAAACGACCATGCCCCGGTGTTTGAAAGTAACACCTACGTTCTCTATCTAGGGGAAAACGTTGCTGAAGGAACATCTGTTTTGAGAGGTCGGTACTATTTTTTTTGTCTTATGTTAATTGTGATTGTCATCCCAGTTATTCTGCATTGATTAGGATTAATTTATAATTAAGGGTCTTATAGTCATTAAAAAAAATTATTTCAAATAACTATTCTTAGAAACACTCCTAAAAAATCTGGCATCCATTTAAATTCGCTCCCTGTATAATTGCTTCAATTCAGTGTTTGAAAAGTGATAAGAATAATAGTAACGTCCATTTACAATAAGTTTACAATGACGTCACAGTGCAATAATGGTACAGTGTTGCCAAATGTTAAATTTTTTCAAGATATTTAAAAAAATTAATTTTTGATAACAAATCTAGTTTATTGGAAATGTATGCTCCGTAATACGGATGAATATGTTTAATAATAGAAGGTAATCGCTAATTTTCCCTTTATTATCATTCTCAGTGGTTGCGCATGACCAAGACCAAGGCAGTAACGGGGAAGTGAGGTACAATTTCGGCTCCGACATTGGTGACACCACTAACTTCTTCGCGATAGACTCCCACAATGGCTGGATAAGCACCATAGCTCAGTTAGACAAAGAAACCAAAGCCGAATATAAATTTTATGTAACGGCAACCGACAATGGTACACCAAAACACTCGGCACGAACCACCATCATAATAAAACTTAAAGATTCCAACGACAGCCCTACTCTCTTCAAAGAACCGTTGTATAACAGTTCAGTTATGGAGGATGCCTTGCCGGGCACCGTGCTACAAACGCTGTCCACTAAGGATGCCGATAGTGATTTGTCAACACCAGTGGAGTTTTATATAATATCGGGAGATCCAAGTTCGCAATTTCAGATCAGGCAGACTGGGGAAGTTTATGTTGCTAAGACGCTGGATAGGGAGAAAGTCGGAAACTATAACCTGGAAATCATTGTTACTGACGGACTGTTCACTGACACTACCAATGTGGCGGTTACTGTTCTAGATGCTAATGGTGAGTACTATATTTTTAAACTGTTTTTTTATTTTTCTTTACAGGCCTTAATTGCTACTTTAATTAATAATTTGAAATGTTTTTTTAAATAAAAATGTTTGACGATTCATATTTATACGACTATACAAATTTTTAATTTACCAGTTTATAGAAGTTTGCTTTGAAAATGAGTAGAGAAAATATTTTAATTTATTTTTTTTATAGTTTTAAGCTATTTTCATTAGATTTATAGAAAAATGAGAATAAACAAGAATAGCGTGAATCTTAATCTTAGTGTAATTTATAGCTTGTCTGCCCAAAAAATTAGATATAAAAACAAAATTAAAAATAAGTAAGCTTAATTTTTTAATAGAAAAATTGTTGGGGACCGCTAACTTCACACTGTGGTTTTTACACATTATAATCCAATGAAATGGGACTTTAAAACACAATTTTGGTCAACTTGCCTGATTTTTTATAAAAGTTTATTTGAGGTATACAGGGTGTCCCACCAGGAATCGCCACTATTGATATCTCGGAAGGTACTGATCCTTGCATCTGTCGAATTTTTCTTTAAAAATTAATATCTAAAAATCTATAACTCTTAGATATAGAGAATATTTAATGAACTAACCCTCAAATTTTACAAAAAATTATCTATTGACTTTTTTTTCTACTATTAAAATTAGCAGATTTAGGAAGGCTAGAAGTTAAACGATGATATGAGAAATTTAAAAAAATTGTAAGCAGAAAAATGAGTGAACTTCAAAAATTTCTTTTTTCAGTTTATTCAAAAAAAATATATACATTAATTTTAGAGAAATAGATATTTTTTATTTTTAATAAAAAAGTTATAATAATTTTAGTTTTTTAATTGTCAATTTTTATTGATTTAACAACATTAAAACAACTTTTTTTAATGTTATATTATCATTTAGTTTTATATTTTTTGCAGAAATAAAATTATTTGTACAAAAAGCCACCAGTGGTGTATTCTTTTCTTGGCAAAAGTTGGCGGGCACTTTACTAGCACATCACTGGTTAATACCAGAGGTTTTCATCAAATAAACGGATTATTTATAAGGAAAATTCAATAAAACGTAAAAACAAGCCCAAATATCTCCGTTTGGCTGCTACTATTAGAAAATACCAAGAAATATTTTTCATTAATTTAATGTAACAGTCCCTGAATGTAACATTATTTCTACAAAAAACCACCAGTGGCGTATTTTTTCCTCAGAAAATGAGGCGGCACCACCGGTAGTACGCCTCTGTAGTCCAATTAAATAAGCCTTTAAATCAAAATTTTGGTCAACTTGCCTGAATTTTTGATATGAGTTCGTTTGAGGTATGTTAATAAGTAATTTTTTGTTCAACCCCCGGCCAAGGGTGAAAAAAGATAAAACAAAGGGATTTTTCAAGATAATTCAAAACGGGTAAGGGCTAGAAAATAAAGTTTCGTATAAAAGTTGTAAAGCATACAATTCTACATAACCTTTCTTTGCAGAGAAATAGATATATTTTTTAATTTTTAATAAGAAAGTTATAACAATTTCAAATTTGTTGTTCACCTTGAAAAACGTTGAAAACCCCGAAACAGGTCAATTTAATTTTGTCAATTTGTTTACATAAATCATATTTTTAATTCTTTTTGAGTAAATATGATTTTTTTATAAATAAAAAGTATAGTTTTTCTAAAATAAAAAATAAGGGTAGCAACCCCCAAACTAGGAATCACTTATGAAATATTTGTTTTTTATCATAAGTAATTTTCATTTTGTTTCATTTCAAAATATTGATTAGAACTCCAGAAATTTAGAAAAACTGTTTTGGGGGGCGAACTTTGAGGGTGTATTTCACCCCGTAAATATGTTTTTCCACCGCTAAAAAAAATGTCTACATTTTTTAGAGTAGATTGAAAAAAAAATACAAAATTCATTCGTTTTTCTGCTCGTTATGATTTTTTAAATTTCTGAAATATTCCTTTAACTTCTAGCCTCCCTAACTCTGTTAACTTTAATAGTACAAGAAAAAGTCAAGATGCCATTTTTATGTAGAATTGTATGCTTTACAACTTTTATAAGAAACTTTTATTTTCTAGCCCTTGCCCCTTTTGATTTATCTTGAAAAACTCCTTTGTTTTATCTTTTTTCACCCTTGGCCGGGGGTTGAACAAAAAATTACTGTCACTTATTGTTATAAGTTATAATATACCTCAAACTAACTCATATCAAAAATTCGGGCAGGTTGACCAAAATTTCGATTTAAAGGCTTATTTAATTGGACTACTGGTTACAGCCACAAGGTTAATATTACTTTCAATAAAAGGTCTAATTAAGTGAATATGCTGTAGTAAATATCATTTAATTCTGTCAGTGCACTATGAAAGATAAGGCAGAAAATATATATTTTTTTGTATTTTAACTTAACACCCTCTATCTCGAATACCAAGTCATACAGGAAAAAAGTTTATAGAACAAACTCTACTTATTTTTCGGTAATGAATGTAGTCCTACAGTTTCTGTATTTAAAGTGAAATCACCCTGTATACCGTTATATAAAAAAGTTCAGGCAAGTTGGCCAAAATTGCGATTTAAAGGCGCATTTAACTGGACTAACATAATTTGTCTTTTTTGACCAGAACATTATGAAAAAACAAGTTAAATAATAATTATTTTTAGATGATACATCAACAGAACAAAATCAGAATATGTATTTCACATTTCAATTTTAATATTTATTGTTTGTGTATGGCAACCTATCTTTTAAATTAATTTATTTTATAATGTGATGTGGTTAGAAGTTAGATTTTTAGTGTGGGAATCTTTAAAGTGGTGACTGTTGTTGTGTACATGTGGATAGGAAGATTAAGACGAGTTTAACTTGGCAGGTTGTTGTCTAAATATATTTTGTAATAACTAATTATTTAGTACCTTTCAATAATGTGGTAAATGTTTATTTGCATTTTTTTTTTTTATAAATTAAGTAACTGATTCGCATTTTAAGGATATATATCGGATTTACTCAAATGCACAGATCTACTTGAAATTTATATAGCATATTACCTACTGCTTCCTCTATGCGTCATATTTTTTTGAAATTTTTTTTAATCTAGGTTTTGAGATATTGTTGTTGAAAGTTTTTCATTTTAAAATAGGTTTATATAGCGAAGATGGATAGTGCGGCTCTTTTTTGCCCATAACTGAGAAAAAAATGTAGAAATTGTGAAACAAAACTTTTCCATAGATAGTACACAGTATTATCTTATTTTTAATGTAAAACTAATGTAAGTTTTGAACATAGTACAGCTGTATTAATTAGAAACAGAAACCTATAATTGCATTTTGGATTGACTTGAGGATTAATGTGGCAACGTCGCAATCAGCTGACAGCAAGGAGGGAATACATTTGAAAGATTTGATAAAAACGAAATTGATTTCAAACATATACATTTTTCCTAAATCCCATGTACATTGTTATCAACAATAGATTATCCACAACAGATGATTTTTTGTAATGTTTTTAAAAAACTAGATTAATTAAAAAAGACTAGGAAACTGTGATATATTTATTAGAATAAAAAATACAGTTGATAAATCCTTTTAATATATTTAATGGTTTATAAAAACATCGTAATCATTACCCAGCAATATTTAGGGTTACATAAAGTTTTCTTTACTTGATTAGTAATAATTGAGATAAAAGCATTTGTACGGAATAACAAAGGAACATAAATATTTCTCAGCAAACTTTATATCTAAAAAATTAGTTATACTAAAATAGAGATTAAAAACACGAACAGTGAGTAATAATGTAATTTCTATCACAGAACTTTCAAAATTGCATCCAACATTTTCTTTAACTCGGACGAGAGATGGGCGCGAGTGTCATTTCATTTCTTTAGAACTAAATTAACATAATTCTCGTTGTTTTACCAGTTCACATGATTTACGGATTTTAAATAAAGGATACAAATCTTCACGAGAATAATACTATATATTTGCTATATACCTGTATAATAATTATATTGTACATAGTTTACACACAATACATTTTTGAATGCGTACACATCTTTACCCGAATTTGACAGGCAATGTCTCCGATGTCCGAGGTCTGTAGGTTCGTAGTGTGTACAACTGCTATTCAATTATTAGCACTGTTGCCACATCTGCTTAGTCTTTATGCATTCATTAAATATAATTTAAAACTGTAGAGAGTACTATTTACTATTCTGGTATTTTGTTTTATCCCTATGTATTATTAGTTGACGTTGACGGCTAACCAACTGTCACTGTACTTGTGTTGAGTTATTTGAATATAAATTTGTATTTACCCACTGTACCATCATATTCATTAAATAAAACCTATATTGGTTTACACTGGAGCCCCACCTTGGGCGCCAGTGTAAACCAATATAGGTTTTATTTAACGAATATGATGTACAGTGGGTACATACAAGGTTTATACTCAAAAATCTTAACATAAGTACGGTGACTGTTGGTTAGCCGTCAACGTCAACTAATAATATATAGGAATAAAACAAAATACGAGAATAGTAAATGTACTCTCTCTACAAAACTACTTAAATATGATACTTTTAAGTTGTTAATTAGTCAATATGTATGCTATGTGCATATGAGTAGATTTATTTGCTATATGGATAATGTTTGTCGCAAATAATTTCAATAGAATTTAAATTTTTTAAATTGGCAGTGGGCTTTAGTCCCATAAGAAAAGCATAGGATCCCCCCCTGCGCTCCTCACTTCCCTCGGACCCCAATATACCTCCTTGAGTAGTGGAATATTAACTTACTGATATTAATTTTTCAAATTTTTACGGTTTTCCTTGTTACAGAGTTAAAATTTGGGTTAAGATCGCTACATAATTTAATTTCAATTCACTCCTAAATCTAGTTATCACAAAACCCCATGTCCCCCCTTGAGTGTTATCAAAATCTAATCTACCCTGTATATAATTAAATTTCTTTCTCTTATAGATAATCCACCCTACTGTTTGAAATACCGCTACAGGCAAATACTATCAGAAGGCATCCTACCAGGATCGTATGTACTCTCTGTGCTAGCCACCGACATAGACGGTCCGGAACACTCCCAACTACGTTATATTTTAACAGGCGAAGGCTCTGAGAACTTTATATTAGAAAAAGAAACCGGTCTGTTAAAGACGGTCACGTATCTAGACCGAGAAAAGCAATCCAAGTACCTACTAACTGCGCACGTACACGACAAAGAAAAATCGAGTTGGGAATGTTCTTCGCAGATAGAACTTTTCGTATCCGATCTAAACGATAATGCACCGCTATTCTCTCTACCCTATTACTCTGTTGCTTTACCGGAAGATGTTGAAATAGGCACTTTGGTCACCAAGATCCACGCCACAGATGCCGATATCGGCATCAACAAAAAAATTAAGTATTCTTTCATTGACTCCTTCAACGACCACTTTGTCATGGCCGCCGATAGTGGAATCGTTACATTGGCCAAACCATTAGATCGAGAACTGCGAGCCGCGTACAATTTAACTATACAAGCCGTTGACCAAGGCACACCACAAATGTCCAGCGTGGCGTACCTTATCGTAAATGTGCAGGATATCAACGACAATCCACCCGAATTCGAAACAAAATACTACTTCGCCACCGTTCCGGAAATAGATGCGATTGGAACGGAAGTCGTCCGGGTTCTCGCAACATCTAAAGACATCGGGGCCAACGCCGAAGTTTATTATTCTGTCATAGGAGGTAACGAGCACAAGAAGTTTACCATCGATAATAAAACGGGGGTCATCTCGATAGCCGACATGTTGGATTTCGAGAGAGCGAAGGATTATTTCTTGACAATCCAAGCTGTCGACGGAGGGACTCCTCCCTTGAGCAATGTGGCCACGGTTAATATCACCGTAACGGATTGCAACGACAACGCCCCTGTGTTCACGCAGGCATCGTACAGTGCCAGGATTAGGGAAGATGCTCAAGTCGGTGATAAAATATTACAAGTAAGTTCTATAGTAAGAGAAATAATTTTTTGAACAAACTTTAATGTGGTATTGTGTGGTGAAACTTTAAATGGGAGGAATTATACGAAGGCTACTATTGGTTTTTAGGAACAGATGTCATAAGTTCGTTTTCTCAAATTGCATTGTGAAAATTGTTTTTTTTAACCGTTTTGTGTAAATTTCATAGGTTAGTGTAAGGTTAAACAATAGTGAGCTAGCCGCAAGAGTATATGCAATTGGGAGCTATGGCGTGCATTGTTATCAAATCTCATCTTTCTCTAACCTAACCTCAAACAACAGCATGCCAGCCGCAAGAACATATGCAATTGGGAGCTATGGCATGCATTGTTGTCAAATCTCATGTTTCTCAATTCGTATACACGTTTTTTCATAATATCACAAAGAAACTTAACAATGAAGACACATAAACACACCATACCGTCACTATACACTGAAATAAATAATTTTATAAAGCTGTACTTACACCGCTCAAATCATTTATTACATTTAACTTTAAATGATTAAATTTAACAGGACACAAATCTGCACTATACAAATTATATTTTGATTTTAGTGAAAATAAATATGAGAACCTGATTAACCGTACGGGAATTGTCCGTACATGGATTATCTGCGGGCAACTAAAAATTTTTTTCACAATGCCGACAATACGGAATTTATTATTAATATTATTATTATTACAATTATTTACCCCTAAAGAACTTCCCCCCACTTAAAATTACACCCTGTATAATTTTATATGTTAAAGAATCGACTTTAAACATACCTATTTTCAGATTATTGCAACAGATCTGGATAGCGACAAGAACGGTGAAGTGTCTTACTCGATAATAAGAGGAGACAACCTAAATCAATTCGACGTAGACGAAAAAAGTGGTTACGTGTCAGTGGCTGGTGAATTGGACCGAGAAACAATATCAAGCTATGTACTGGAGATCCTGGCGAAGGATAATGGTGTACCGGTACTTTCCCGGCAGACGCTATTAAATATAGAAATCTCAGATGCCAACGACAATCCTCCGTTGTTCTCACAAATAAATTACACTGCCGTGATACAGGTAAATTATATATAGGGTAATTTTTAAGTTGAGAGACATTTTTTGAAACAGCATGTACACCCACAAAAATTAAAAATTTTTTAAGAGAAACAAAACCTACAAAATTTAAATCAATTTTAAATCATCTCCTGTCCTTTAGCGAGTACAAAGTATGGAAACAATTTCGCTTGCGTTGTGAAATCTTATCAATTATATTAATTTACATGGAGTGTGGTCAAAATGCGGCAGCAGCATCGCAATTATACACAGGTCTTTAGAACTAAATTTACCTTTTTCTTGGGAGTTTGTAAAAATAGTTCAAACGGCTACTTGAAAACTCGCTTATAAGTGTGTTGCAACACTATGGTTTACTGACAACACCCTATTGCTGCTGGGTATTCAGAAGCATCCTGTTTTTATTCCTAGCATGGCTTTTGCCACTTCATGACAGGTTGTTCCGGGCTCTTTAAAGTGCCTGCGGCGCTCACGCATAAGTCAGGTAGGCGCTTATAAGCGTCCACTGGCATCGAACTTGTTAATAAATGTGAAAAATTAAACGTCAAAACGAAAGTACAGCACAATGAGCATTAACTTCAGCACGAGACACATCTTTGGCTCCACCAAAACAGGGATAACTTCGAACAATTTCTATAAAAGTAACATTGCTGGAAACTACTCTGCAGACTATTGCCCGACCCGGATCGTTTTGTTATCTGTTTAGCCATATTCAAAGTCTAGACATTGAGTAACAATGACGGTAGTAGTGTCCCGAAATATATTCCGTTAAAATAGATTTTGATTGCGTAATGCCGGTATAGGTCTTGTTTCAATAATACGTGTGCAATTGCGGGTTGCTCTCTGTCAGATCGAAGGTCTAGACATATAGAATGGTCATACCATTTATAGATGTAGCCTTTTTTAATTTTACTCTGGCATTTTTCTGCTACATGGCTAATCATCGACGCCAGGAGATGAGCAACCTGTAAATTTTGTTGTACTGGGGTAGGAAATTGTTACTTACCTAACATTGCTTAGACATTGCTATGGTTTTACATCCATTCTGAGGGATAGTATGTCTTTTTATTCCAAAAAATATAAATTCTGTGAATGCATCAACGTACAGGCCACTAGAAGCTGAACAAGCATTGCAAACCTTTCCCGAATGGTCATCTATCCAAGTACTAACCACGACTCATCTTTCTGTAAATGCAACATTGAAATATAAGGACAGGACATACTCACAGCATTATTTCAAAAATATTATAATTTTAATATAAGTACGAGGGTTCTGTTTTATTTTTCGGGAATAGAGAACAAAAAAGATTATTAATCATCGTATATAGCTTTATTGTTTTTCACAAAATATTTTCCATGACAATCAATACACTTTTGCATGCGCTTGAAGCTATTTTCGAAGCACTTTTTCTAATCCGATTGAGATACTTCCAAAACATGCATTTTGAACGCATTAACCGCTTTTTCAGTTGTCGGAAAATGTTGACTTTGTAATTTATTTTTAATGTAGGGGAAAATAAAAAAAGTCATTGGGTGCCAAATCAGGGCTATACGGCAGATGACTCGTCAATTCAACTTTTTCAGTTCACAAAAAGTCTCTTGTTTGAGCCGATGTGTGAGAGGTCGCATTGTCTTGGTGGAGAATGATGCGTCTTCGGGGGTTGGTTTCTCTTATTTTTCCGAAGACTTCTAGCATACAAATTGTTTGTGTACTATTCAAAGTTGACCGTACCACATTGCACTACATGTCCGTTTTTTTCCAACAACTTTTGTTGGATTTGGCTCATCTTGAAAGAATGCTGTTTATTTTAGGGCTCATTTGCATAGATTCATGATTTGTCACCTGTTATGATGAATATGATGTCATAGATGTGTTTTGAAGTAGTGATGGGAGCATTCGAATGCAAGATTCGATTCTTAAAAATTCATGCTGTTCTTGAGAACTTTTATGCAGGCACTCGAATACTTGCGAATTCTTGATGAGGTTACGAGTATCCCTCCCGACAGGCAGATAGATGGACTAGACACTGGGCGGATGTGCTTTAGAGGCCAAAAATTGAATGTTTTTTAAGATTTGTTGTATTGCCAAATAATTTAAACTTCTTTTTGCACAGTGATCATATTGCATATTTCTTATCATTACTTTTTTTAATATAAAATCCCAAACTAATGATTAGCAGCAGCTTAATTTTAAAAATAATCAGTCAATAATTATAAAATAACTAAAAACATTAATCACAAGTATACACGGTTTTGGACCTGAGCAACCAAAAGCTGTTTACAAGGTAAATTCAGGTGCTGAATCCAAATCAGCAGCCCGTTTTTTAAAATTGGTTCTAGTTTTCGAAATATTCAATAAATTCTTTATTTTACTATTTTTGACCATTAACGGCCATTTATTGAATTAAAAAGTATAAATCAGAAATGAACAGCGGTTTAACTGAGTCTTTTATATTGCTTGGGATCTGTTTAACGCCTTAGAGTCCACCAGTAGTCGCTCATCATGCCTTCGTCCCAAAATCCTAGGTATCGCCTTTCCATTTTCGCTATATCTTGATGTAGCTGCTCTCCTTGCTCGTCGCTCGTGTCGCCCAAGTTTTGCGGGAAAAAATCAAGATGTGAATGCAGAAAATGTATCTTGAGAGACATTCGAGCTCCAATCTTGTGGTAATTCTTCAAAAAATTGTCGATTACTTGTTTGTAATCCGGTGATTTGTGGTTCATTGAGCAAAAGTAGCAATCATCTATATGATTATTCTGTTCTCTTCATAACGTTGGCACAGAAAATGAAAAGTACATATTTTCACCAAGTGACCACTTGTACAGCTTTGTTCTGCACGCGTTACAAAACAATTTCGGTACCCATGGCTTGTCAGTGTTTACTACAGCAAAACCAAAGTACCGCAAAAACGCATCTTTGAGTGCATTTGTCATGATTTTTCCACATTTTCCGAGCATATAACATCCACAAACGTAACAAAAACACTTTGAATCGACTGCAACGTTTTTTCTGCATTTTCACACGTTCCGAAGCACAATCACAGTACAAAAACAAGTTCCAAAAGATGTTCGATGCAACGTGGTCAGATGATAGCCGTTATAAGAGCGCAGTACCGCCACCATCTCGGTGGATCTAGTCTTCTATCCAGTACTCGGTTCTCGGTCTCGGTCTCGGATAATCATTCGATTCTTAAAAGTATTCGAGAACCGAGTTCTCGATTCTTAAAAATACTCGATTCTGCCCATCACTATTTTGAAGCACCGTGATTGTATTTGGACCAATTAACACGAGGCTTTTTTTTGAGCACTTATCAAATATGTGGGATCCAACGTGAACAAATTTTTTTTAGTGGCCAAATGTATATGCAATATTGAATGTAGGTATATGCTGGTTCCACTAATGCCCAAGGATGCCTCAGTCTCACGATAAGTCACATGACATCCTTGCAATATCAGTTCATGCACAGCATCAATGTTTTCTGGAATTGAATTTCATATACCACCGATATGCAGTGGTTTTTGATGGTGCTTCATCGTCAAAAGTTGAATTTAATTCAAGGATACACTGTTGTTGAGATAATCCACGTCAAAGTTGTACAAAATAATCGCACGGAAATGTTCACGACTTAATTTTATTTTTTGGCCGAGATGAATTTTTCGAATCACTGTAAACAACACAAATAGCGCCTGTACGTCAAAACATTCTGGTAAGTAAAGTAAGACAAAAAGCGAACATTACAATAGGAACGTCAGTTATCAGATGGAAGAACCAAAATCTCTATTCCCGAAATTTAAATGACAACCCTCGTATTTCTGATTTTTAAGTTTGTAACTTTTTAAACACTATACTATCCAAGAAATTACTTCCATAAATATCCCAACTACACAATCAACCTGTATTTATGAGCATATGTAGTGTATTAAAGTAAATTTTTCTTGTAGGAGGATAAACCTTTAGGCTACCCGATACTTAAATTCTCAGTCACTGACGCAGACACGGTCCCGAACACGGTTCCTTACACCTTCGATTTCCGGATTGGAAATGAAGGGAACAGCTTTCGACTGGACCAAGACGGGGTTCTGAGAAGCGCCACAAAATTCAACTATAAAATTAGAGACACGTACCTACTACAAATCCGAGTGTTCGATAACGGCAGCCCGCCCCTCTATTCCGACGCCTGGGTTGTCGTTAAAGTTATCGAAGAGTCGCAGTATCCACCGATAATCACCCCTCTGGAAATAAACATCAACTCGTACTTGGACGAGTATCCCGGTGGCATAATCGGGAAGGTGTACGCAAACGACCAGGACCAATATGATACTTTGACTTACTCTCTGTCGCCTACTGCGGGTATTTCCTACCCGACTCATGAACTTTTCCAAATAAACCGAACGGATGGTACTTTAACCGCCTTGCCCCGCCTAGATGTTGGAGATTACCGTCTCAATGTTTCCGTAACTGACGGAAAATTCTCTACCTACAGCATAGTCAAAGTTAACGTCGAGACGCTATCTGATGGTATGCTGGAAAGTTCCGTTGGCATAAGGTTCCGTGATGTCAGCCCCGAATCGTTCATCCTCAGTCACCGAAAAGGCTTCGTGCGAGCCGTAAGAAACGCTATGAATTGCAGGTTAAAAGACGTCGTTATTATCAGTGTTCAACCGTCGAACGACGAAGATTTACTAAGAGCAAAACGGTACATCAATAAAGATTTGGACGTCCTTTTTACCGTCAGGAAACCTGATGACGGTTTTTATTCGTCGGAAGAAATTCGGAAAGCTCTAAACGACAACTTGGAGGAGCTCGAGGAGAGTACGAAATTGGTCGTAGAGGAAATAATCAGATTGAAGTGCAACAACAAATACTGCTTGTATGGCGTTTGTCAAGACCATTACATACTCGACGCTTCCATCATAGAACCTGTTTCTACGGACGTTATGAGCTTTGTTTCCCCGAGACACCATCAAAAACTCGAGTGTATCTGTAAGGAAGGTTACGGCGGTGAACGTTGTGATATTATAGTCAACGAGTGTGCCAGGGAACCTTGCCCGACCTACAAGATATGCATTCCGGACGCTTCTCCCGTAGGCTATTCCTGTCAGTGTCCGGAAGGTTATGCCGGGCCCACTTGCGAGGTGGACATCTCTAAATGTCACGATCAAAATTGTTACATCGCCAGAAATCCCATTTCGTTCAGCGGGAAAAGTTACTCGCAGTACAGGATCATTAATAAAAAATCGATAGAGGACCAGCTGAGCCTCAGTCTAAGGATAAGGACTTTGCAACCGACCGGGAATTTGATGTATGCTGCGGGGAAAGTCGATTACAATATCTTAGAGGTGAGTTTTTCAAAAAGCAGTTAAGGTTTTGGTAATTTTGATTACTTATTGTTACCGTTATTTTTAAATTAAAAATAACCCATCGAAATAACTCATTTAGAAGGAAAAAAAGAAAAAATAATGGGAGAGGGGCTTATAATGAATGTAAAAAAAAATAAACGTGGTGAAAAATTGTATTTAAAAAAAAGTATCCAATACAAAAGTTGTAGATCATGCGAAAATCTGTAGATGTATCTTTCGTAGAGGTCACTTTTTTACATAACCCCAAAATTTCCGAGAAAAATGCGAAAATCCTTTTTATTTTCTCTTTTTTCGTTTCTTATTTTTCATTTCCACAAAAATAATTTAATTTTGACGGAACTAGTACCTGTATCTTAAATAACCACAATTTTTTTTAGATAAAAAAATTAAAAAGTTTACTTTTTCCAGTCCAAACAATTTTTTTTTTTTCAAACAAATATTTTTAATTCATCATGCAGACTTCTGCCGGTGCTCATTTTTTTTCATTTTGACACTTTTTGGTAAAATAAAAAAAAATGTATAATCACAATTCAAAAATATGCTCAAAAATGCAAAAAAAAACAAAAAATCTCGCAACACATTGTTGATAATTTGTCTAAATTTTTTAAAAAATTAATTGTACTATTCAATTGTACAGAAAAAAATACAAAAGAAAATGTTTCATTGTTTGACCCGAAACTTTATTTTTGTACAGTATTGCCAAGTTGAATAATTTTGTGTACTGAGCACGATAGCAGGATCATCCATACTGCTAATCTGTAATATAATCAAATAAAGAAGTTAGTTAAAGTGAATAACTGTTCAGAAATTTGTTTTGTATTTTAGAAAAAAGTACAAAAAAATTCGAAAATCGTAAAAGTTGTTTAAAATAAAAAAGGATTTTTTTTATTATGGATTCATTTACAGGAGATAAGGAGGATAAGACTTCACTCCAAAAAGTGACTGCAAAAATCGCCCGTTTTTTTACAGTTCGCAGAGAACTAAAGAAAATAGATAAAAATATTTTTTTGGTCTCAAATTACTCGTAAAAAATTAAGATGAGCATAGCTTCTAGTTTTTTGAAAATTTTCAAAAATCACCCCTATTTAGGGGTTGAAAAGACGCCCAAAATGAAGAATTGAAAATTACCAATAAATATAAAAACTATTAGCATGTGAATTTTTCTATCGAATGATTCTTGATACAAAGAAAGATTTATTCTCATGACTGAAATTATGTTGAATTAAAAAATCCACCCTTAAGCGCACTGGGGGGGGGGGGGGAATTATCCCCAAAAATAGAGAATATTGGTAATATTCAAATTCTTCATTTTTGGCATTTTTTCAACCCAAATAGGGGTGATTTTTAAAAGATATGCTCATTTCAATATTTTACGACAAGTAATTTGCGACCCAAAACATATTTTTATGTATTTTGTAAATTCTCTGTGAATTGTGAAAAAACAGACGAAAATCACAGGTTTTTTGCCGTCATTCTTTCATTTCGAAATATTAATTTTTTTCCAAAGTTTAGCTGATTGATTCTTTGACATACTTTACATACTTTAATAACTTTAATATTCAAAGTTGTACCACTTACAGTGTCACAGAGCGCCTCGAATTCAAAATGAATCACGAGAATGGCTCCTGCGGTACCATTTTGTACTATTTATGAATAAATGCATATTTTTGAATACTTGAAGACATGATTGTAAGGGGGTAATATAAAATTAGCGTGCCATTCCACCTAAAATTTTTGCAATTCTGACCTGTATTTACTTTGCCATATTTATATTTTTAAATAAAAATTAATTAAAACATTTCCAATTTTCTGTAAATGAATGTCAGAAAATATTTCTCTGCCACACTTATATTTAAAACTGTGATGAAATGCCAATTTATGTAAAATTAACGAAAATGTAACAATCTAAATTACAAAATTTTGAAGGTAGCGTGATCTTTATGTATTTTTAAAACACAATTGTTTTTCAGATTGTTAATGGTGGAGTACAATACCGTTTCGAGCTAGGTAGCGGGGAAGGTATAGTTCGCGTATCAGACATCTACGTATCTGATGGTAGCTGGCACGAGATAAAACTAGAAAGGGACCGCAACAATGCAAAAATAGTTATCGATGGCACCCACAGTGCCCAAGGCTCGGCTCCCGGTATAAGCGACATTCTCAATCTTCAAAGTGACGAAATGTACCTGGGCGCCGAAGTTCACCAGCATCCTTCTATCCTTGGCTTTGAAGATGTTCAACGCGGCTTCTCGGGTTGCATGGACGATATTAGAATATCCCGAGTCTCCGTCCCCCTTCATAAATCTGGAGAGAACTCGGTTGTCGTTTTGAAAAGATTCGCCAATGTTGAATTTAGTTGCGATACCAGCAGTATCCTCGTTCCACCAGGGCCGTGCGGTTCTCAACCTTGCATGAACGGCGGGACTTGCCGTGAGACTAAGAACGGGTACGAATGCGAGTGCCACTCGCGATACAAAGGAACGCTTTGTGAATTAGACACAGACCCATGTGCCTCCGCGCCTTGTTTGTACGGTGGAAAATGTACCCCTACAATAGCAGGAGATTTCGTTTGTGAATGCGTTCTTCGACTGAGCGGGAAAAGATGCGAGTACGGCCGTTACTGTGCTCCGAACCCCTGTAAGCATGGCGGAGTATGTGAGGAAGGAGACGAAGGGCCGCTGTGTAAATGCCGTGCCTTTGCTGGAGAATACTGCGAATATGATTTGAACGAGTGTGATTCTTCCCCCTGCCAAAATGGCGGAACGTGCATAAACGAAATCGGATCCTTCCACTGCATCTGCCCTTCGAATGTAACGGGTACCTACTGCGCCAACTTGATCTACAACACCCCTATATCCACGACTTTCTACAACATAACCTGGGAAGAGCTGATTTATTTCGGCATAGGCGCTGGGGCCCTCCTTCTATTAATAATTCTCTGCATATCGTGCAAGTGCTGGATCAACAAACGCAACAGGAGGAGACGCAACATGATCAACAATGAAAACCTGAAAGACAACATCGTGTTGAATTCCACGCGTCCCCACGAGATGTCGGAGTTCAAACGAGGCTCGAAACTTAGCAACCTAGAAGTCAATCAGCGTGACATGCCGCTCTGTCCACCCAGGCCCGTTTCCTATACTCCTAGCTCTCAGAACGATCCAATCTACAACTGCGCCACCGTTATGCTGAACAATTTGGACACGCTTAGAAGCTACGGTTCGGCAGGTGACGAACTGGAAAACGTTCCGCCGGATTACGTGAAAAATTTGAACAGGAGCACTCCCCAGGGCTGTATCGGTAATCATTGCGACTCGGAGAAGACGACTTGGGCGGAACAGATGCATCTAGCGTCGAGTTTGAACGACAAACCCAAAACTAAAAATGGTGAGTTTGGAAAATTTTTCCATAAAAGGTCTATCCTAAACATTTATTTATTTTAGATTGCCAGCATAAAGGAGCAATTCAATTTTAAATACACCGTTAGATATTAATTACGAATAATAACAAAATAATTTTAATAGGATGTTAAAAATCTAATAGAGTAGTTCAAACGTCTTAATTTTAGTTGCGGATTGTTTGTAATATTGAATCGGAGAACAACAAAATTTCATGAAATAAATATCTTTAACTTCAGTATATTATATTCTATAAAACAGATTTATAATAAAAATATTTATTGTTGAGACAAATTAACATACGAGTATAAGTACATATTTATTTCTCCAATTCTTACAGAAGTTGCGTGACTCAAACAATGCAGAATTGTTAGCATTCATTATAATTCTGATATACCAGAACTTCTTTATCTTTCCTTCAATAAGGATTTCAAATTGTAAAGGTATATACAAGGTGTATCCCGAAAGTATCTGACCAGCATTCATAACTCCGCACTGGCACTATTCTTCATCGTTCGGCTCATGGCATCCTTCGAAGTAATCCTCACTCCACTGAACAACATGCACTCATCAGTGCTTCCACGTCCAGTCCAGAAGCAGTTCTGGAAGTAAGTTTTCAGAATGGCTTTCAGTGTTGTCACATTCGTTTCAATCGTCTATGTCGTCGCACTGGTGCCTTTGAGCAGAATTGGGAATCTTGGGAACAGCTAAAAACCGCAGGGGGCTACGTCAGGACTGTACGGAGACTGGCGAAGTTGTGTAATTAATTGTGTGTTTTGAATTGTTTTTCCGAGTCTGCGACTCTGGTGTCTATTTCGCGACCGCTGGTTACTGAACTACCGATGGATTGGGCTGACGTTCGATCGCATGTAGGGTTATCTGCACTAGTGATTCTTGTGCATAGTCCAGTTTAGTACGGCACCATTTTCCCTTATTGGATTTGCCTTTCTTTTGATTTATACGTTTCTGGATACTAGATATTCATTTGTATCAACTTTCATGTAATTACTTTTGTTATTTTTTTGTTTGGTTTGGATTTCATCAAAATCGAAGATTTTTTTATCTCTGAAATCTGAAGCTGTAACAGTTTTGTCTCCTTTAGTTCGTGCCTTTGGCAATGTAAACTACTGAGACGGGGTGTGTTTGGGCTACTAGGAGCATTTTAAAGCGTGATGATGGGGAATTTGAAAAGATCGCTAAAATTTTCCAATCACATGCCGTGTCATTCTGAGGATTTCCATTGACAGCATCGTCTTTGACGATATTGGTTATGACATCTGGAACGGTTTATGGCGCCTGGAGCAGTTTTGAGCGCAACGATGATAAATTTGGAAAGGTGAAATTTACAATTTCCACTCCTCGCTCTCTTCATTGCTGCGCTGGGTTATGAGTCTTTTGCGACATCGTCCTCTGCATGGGGCGTGGTTCCAGTTAGAAAGATAGGTGAATTTTCATACCACTACTACTACTAGTATGATATTGATATAAAAAAAATTATATAAAAAACGACTATCAAAACTTTAGTGCTTCATTTTGCCTCTTAAATGTTTTAATAATTACTGACTTTCCTGCCTTTCTAGTCACTTATTAATCATTGCTTATGTTATGATGAGTTACGTGAATGTCTGTAAGAGTCAAACAATTTGCACACGGCAACTTTTTTCCCGTTATGTTCAAGTATGTCAGGGAACAAAGTGATTTTACATGTTGACGTTTCTTAAATTAAGTGTTGTGATGTCACAAAGTTTAGTTTTTTATATTATTCCAGTGGAAACTGGACATATAAATTAGGAAAAAATATTTGATTATACTCCTAGTTCTGTCTAAATTGATCATTTCCGAATTTTCTTATGCAAGCCCGTTACGATATAATTTTTAATACTTTTTCTACGTATTTTAGATTATAAAGTCTCTAGTCCAGTCAACTGTGATGTGCCGAATAGACTATATGGGGGAAGAAGTAATACCATCAACAATATCAAGCCCAATGGATCAATTTGTACCGACGATGATCAACGGAGTATGGGAAGTAAGTTAAAATATATTTATTTTTTTGTATGAAGGTATAAACTTTATGTTTAGGAAATTTGACGAATATTGAAGTAGTTGTGTTGAATTTTATTAATAATTGTAACTCTTTTATTAGATAGATAAAAACTTTATGAAAAACATATTTATTATATATTTCTCTTAAAAGGAAGGTGTCGACAGACATAAATATTAAAATAGTGCATAGAATAAAATTCACCAATGGGTTAAGTAGAATATTATCATGCTTTGCCTTTTTCCTTGCTTGACTGTCTGTTTTTGGATTAATTTTTCACTCTTCTTTAGTAGTAAGCTCTATACATAATAATATACACCTATATTATTTTTTTAATCCTTTGGAATTCAAACACATATTTGACAATTTCTTAAAAAGTTAACGATTTTAATTGAAAAAAATATTAAAAATTTTGAAGCGTAAAGTTGTGAAGTATTTTCAGTAGCTTCTACTGTTTTAGTTTGCTTTAACATATACGATATGCTTAACTAGTCTTTTTGTCATTAGATATTAATTATTTGTTAAGTAGATTTTTAATATCGAATAAAAAAGCAAAGAGACACTGACAAACTTTATTTAAGAGGGCAGATTGGATAAATTATTAGCCTAAATTTTTCTTTAATTTCAAATTCGATACAGTTAATAACCATTTAAATTATTCTTGAAAATTTGCAAAATTGGTCAAAAGTATTGGTTCTTTTCCGGTGTTAAATCATTAAAAAAAAAATAGTTTTATGATGAATAATTTTTCTAATTGCCCCCATATTCAACGATTGTATGCAGCTGGAATTATCAATATAGTAACCAGTATTATTCACCTACGACAATTTTGTTAAATTTTACTGACTGTCCACACAAAAATATATACAGGGTGTTATAATTAGCCGAACTTAAAATTTGAGTTGTTGTGGCCAAAATAAGTAAAAGTCCTATAAAGTATTGTTTGGAAACATTTGTTTTCTTCTTTGTTTGTGCTGAAAAAAATTAATATATTAATACTTCAACCAGTGACGGAGACGATGAAAGTCACTGTCACTAAGAATCTAGGAAATTTATTGGCACTATTTTTTGCAAATTCAATATCACCTTTCTAAGAAAAAATATCTCATTTCACTTACAACCATTATAAAACATATCAATAAAGCTAAAAAAACTTGAGAAATATGTGTTTCAGTAGAAGTTCATAGGATTTTTTTTTTTCTAGGAATTAAATTATATGTAATGTGAAAAGTCTGCAAAAATCATTGCATAGAAATTTTGCATCATGTTAAAGGTTGTAAGTGCAAAATTTCATCAATTATTCTTTTCGATTCTTCATGTTTACGATATGTTTAAAATCGTATTTATAGAAAAAATGTCTTATGATTCCTTTTATGAAACAAGAGTAAACTCAAAATTATTTTTGATTCACTAAATTACTCAATTCGACGAAAATTAAAAAAATTAATAATACTCCGCGGTGGAAATTATAGAGAGTGACTCATCGCTAGCTTTTGGACTAGTAAGGATGATAAGCGTGCGGGGAACGAAAATCCATTGGCGTGTCTGCGTAAAAGTCACTAAGATATAGAAAATATGGAAAAAAATAATAAAACATAACATCTAGTATTTTTAATGGTTTGCTACAACCGGCACTTTGATCCATTTTAATTATTACGTTTTAAAACGTCCCGGTTGTGTTTTTTAATTTATAAATTTATTCTAGCCACGGAATTAGACCCCTCGCTTACACTTATGCTATGGGTTTCTAAAGACGGCTAAATCAAATCCGTTTACAACCACTAAAAAAGCATATCCTTATTCCCTACCAACTGCAAAAGACAGAGATGGGATCGACGTTCAGTGTAACTCGGTGTATAGACAATTATAGATTCTATCGATGTGTGTAGGGAGCGGCACATCATTTAATACAAGACAAATAATATTGCACCGTTATAAAAATCATTTTATATTTCAAACGCTTTATGGTAATAGTGTTTTTATATTATGTCTGAGTGACTCTCTATAATTTCGACCGCGAGGTTTAACAAGTTCAAGACTAGTTTATGATTGGTGATTCTGCTGTTGAATGATCTTAACCACTTACTAGATATTGCGGGTGTGTTTCAATGCTGCATGGGGCATATAGCCCACAGAGTAGTTGTTTCCCACAATAAGATTAGTTAAACATTCAGTGAGGTCATATTTCTGAGGTTGTTAATGCCACTGGTCAATTGGTTGTTATTGCCAATGGCATTTATATAAGAATTCGGTAGATTCTTACCTTTAAGTAGATAAATTATAAGCCCAAGTTTCATTACTGTATAGGATTTTCTTTATTTTGGTCGCCTGACTTGTAATTTTAAGTTCAGCCAACTATTCCTGAAGCAAGCTGCACATTTTTGTGAAACGTTGCGCACCACTGACGACTGTTTGAAGAGACCCTGTGATTAAAAGGCTGCTTTAAAATTAGGTTATCATTGGGATTGTTCGGATTGGGCGCGGCATAGCCAGACACTGCCTAACATAACGGAGGTCCCAGGCAGTGAAATACCTGACTCCTCCAGCTTTCATAGTAACGAAAGTAACGAATCTCGCTGTCACCTGCATCCCTCGGTGCTGGGCCCCCTCGACCCACATCGAGACATTGAGACACTCAACGAAGACATTGAATCCGAATTTATGGCTGATACCGAGTGCGATACTAGCCGAATCAGCCCCAGTCTCAATGCTCTTGATAGTGGAAATGAAGAATATAGATTTACCACAGGTACACATGAATTTTCTTTTTGTTTTTCTTTACTAATTGGCCACATACGTTTAGGGACGAGACGAGTGACTTCTACTGAAAATAGAAGTATGTATAAATACCCCGCAATGGAGTTGTTTTATTCGATACATGGGTTTGAGCGTGAGTGAGATATAACCTACAAAAAATCATAATTGTCAACTAGTGTCACAGGAGACTTTTTAACTATCAGTTAAAAAACAAAATTATAATAATTTTCTAGTGATGTAAAATAGCATGCTATTTAGTTTTGGGTGATATATATCAAAATATATATCATTATATATATCAGATGAATTTTGTTAAAAAAAAACTATACTCAAATTAGTTTTTTTATATTGCTAATGCCTTGCTGATTAATTTGACACCAAATACATGTCATATATATGAACTTTTAGAAAAGTTATCAAGTCATCTTTATTTTTTTTCATATTTAGATTGGAATTTTTTATTTTTTTTGTCATAATGGCTTCTAATTTTTGTTGCGTACTACTGACTGTTTATAAGCAAGTACGCTGTTTATTAGCAATTTAGTTTTATCAACCCAGAAATAAAAAATGGGAAATTTCTAGAACAAGAAAATTTAGTCTTTGTATATCACAATACGTACTTAAAAAAAAATTAAAGATAAAAATTGAAATAAAAATTATCAAAAACTTATGATAATAAAGAAACTGCTTTAAAGTAGTACTTAAATATCTGAAATTTTAGGGGTGTACTATAGATGGGAAGAACTAAGAGTGCACTTAATTTCAAGTCACCCCTTCCACCCTAGGGGGTGAGGGGTGGTTTTTTTAGATGTACCCTACTCATTTTGCGATTTTCGGATTCTGCGCGTAAAACTACCCCCGGAAACGCGTTCTTGGGGGTACGTCTAAAAGACCACCCCTCACCACCTCTGCACCGACTAGGGTGGAAAGGGCGAGTTGAAATCAGGTTCGCTCTTAGGTCTCCCCACTTATAGTACACCCCTAAAATTTCAGATTTCTATATTTATTTTTGACGGAGATGTGCCCAAGAAAAATGCCCATCGAAAAAACGACAAAATCCATACGAGGGTGGTGGTTTGGTTTTTGTGCGAATTCGGCAAGAACGCGCTTTCGGGGGTAGTTTTACGCGTAGAATCCAAAACTCGCAAAATGAGTAGGGTACATCTAAAAAACCACCCCTCACCCCCTAGGGTGGAAGGGGTGACTTGAAATTACGTGCGCTCTTAGTTCTTCCCATGTATAGTACACCCCTAAAATTTCAGATTTTTATATTCATTTTTGTCGGAGATATGCCAGGTACCCAAGAGCTACTACAGTCCAACTCAAGCCTACCACACCACAAATTTTTAGTTTTAAAATGTAAGGTTATATTTGAAATTTGGCTTTATTGATGAAATGGCGGGAAAATTGATATATATCAGCTATTAACATATATATAATAGCTGATATGTATCAAAAATTGATATATATCAATTTGTTATATATTTTCACTCACATCACTATAATTTTCATATACTGTGTATTTTACTAAGACTTGTTTGAGAACTAATAAGATAGTTGTAATAGTCAGTCATATGAATTCGATATCTAAGTGGAAGACTATTAAACTTCAAGTACTTATCTGCACAAAATTGCAGGTTTTTAGTGTATGGAAAAAAAAATTTCAGTAGAGACTTTTTGAGGATTTATCGAGATATACAAATAGTAAAGATGTCTTGAGGTCAAGTTTCGAGAAAAATCAAATCTCAATACCTTGATTTGTTTAAGTAACAGAAGAATCTCTTTACAAAAACAAAATATTTTATCACAAAATGACTAAAATTTAAAACGTTATCCATATCTCTTAACAGGGCCGGCCCCAGGGTAGTTGCCACCTGAAGCAAATATTTGTTTGCCGCCCGTTGGAACAACAAATTTATTAATAAAAAAGTTATAAAAAAATCAAAAAAACATTTCAATAGACAAAAATAAATCAAAAAATATTTTAGCAAAAAACAAACAGAAATTATAAGAAACATCTTATAGAAAATAAAACAGATATTCCAATAAAACCAAAAATAAAAAATATTCAATAAAAACAAAAATGAAACTAATTAATGTCAAAACGGGATCTTTGCGCATATCACATATCAACTTTTCTACATTTTTCATTAACAAAGTCTTCAATAATATCAGTGTAAACCAAATTATTTGTTATATCTTTCTCGATAGCAAGATTGGCTAAGTCTTTTAATCGTTCCTGCGCAATGGTTGATCGTAAATAATTTTTTATAATTTTTAATTTTGAAAAAGAACGTTCTCCACTGGCCACAGATACAGGAATGGTTAACAAAATCCTTAAAGATACTACGATGTTAGGAAAATTTTCGCTCAACTCGTTGATTTCTAAATAATTAATAAAAGCACAAAGCTCGCATTCGGGGTCAAAAAATGTTTTTTTCAGATTTTTGTGCAATTTTCAATTTCTTAAATTTATAAAAAGTTAATAATTAAGTCTTAAAATGCCGCCCTTAGAAAAATGCCGCCTGAAATGTCTGCTTCGCTGTTTCACCCCTTCCGCCGGCCCTGTCTCTTAAACAAATGAAAATGTCAAAATCGTCAGATGTTGCCAATCGATTTTTCTCAAAAATCGAGAGCTTGACATTTGACTATGTTTTGTCGTGTTGGAGAATATGAGACATCCCCCAACAGTCCGAGACTGCCTTTGCCTATAAAATTAATTTATTTAATAAATTATTAGTTTTGTACGATATGTTTTCAATAAAACAACTCCATGTCTAAAAACTTCAAAACTTAGTATTTTATGTACTTCTGTTAACAAAACTTGGATCAAATTGCCTATTTCCGATTTATAGGATGGAGAGAAACTTCGTTATAAACCCACACATTTACCTATGTAAGTTAATCGTGTGGCGATGTTACAAATTATTGACGATTGAAAATAATAAAATGTGATTTTTTTTTATGAATTTTGAACTAACCACTTACCTTATCGTATTTGGTGTTTTTTACGTAAACCTCATTATTTTAGAATAATCCTACTAACTCTCTTTTTGTTTTTCTCTTATGCAGTGCCTTTAATAATTGTTAAACCAAGTGAGTATCTGGCAAGTGAAGCGATTGCATGCTCTCGATTCGTTAGAACATAGCATGTGCCCATTATTTAACAATGCATCTATTATAATTATTTTTAATTTAGCTTTGATGAATTTTCCGATGTAGCAATTGTTGTTTTTATTTTACAGATTTTGTTTCGTATTTTTTTTTACTATTTGAATTGTTTATTTTTTTTATTTTTTCCTCTTTAGTATCGATTTCAAATAGTATATTGTGTTTTTGTGTTCTCTTTTTAGCAGACAGCTATATACGTCATCCTAACTCATATCTACCCCCTCATGGGTACAACATTCCAAGTGAAGTTGAGGGCGACTGCTTGCAGAGCCCCGGGGCAGAGTCCGACGATGTGGAACCTTACGGATTTCCCAGCAACAGAAATAGAAGGAAAAACTGTGATGATGACATTTCATCCGTTATTACTACTTTAGGTGAGCATTATATTGAAATATTTTTTATTATAATGGTTTTTATGTAAAAAATTTTGATTCTTAAAAAAAGCCAACTAAATCGAGTTCTAAAACTTTTCCTAAAATCTCCGCAAATGAAGGTAGTCGTAACTACACAGTATGTCGGAAAAATAATTACTAAACTTTTTAAATTTAAAGAAAACTACTAACACCATCTATTGGAGCAATATGTAGTCTGAAAGCTGTATATAAGACGAGACCGCTATCATTAGAATCGATCAACGGATTGCCAAGTTATAGCGTTTAATGTGACAATACATTTTGTCACCTCATCACAAAAACACGCTGGAGCAAAGAGTTTCAAGCTTGGTAAAACTTTTACGGAAACGATTGATTGATAAAAAAAAATTATGGTGATGATTGTTTATCCCGTACATGTGTGTTCGAGTGGTACAAGCGATTCCAGCTTTGGAGGATGACCCAAAGCCAGATCGGCCAAAAAACAAAAATTTCGACAAGTTGGTGGAAAAAGTGCGTGAAATGATCGCTTACAATGCAAATTTAACTGTGAAATGGATCGCGGAGGAATTAAATACGACCAAAGGCATGATTCATGAAGTTTTGACAAAGAAGTTAAACAAACAGAAAATTTGTGCTTGATTTGTGCCTCATGCCTTAAAGGAGAACTAAGAAATTGCTCACTATGAACATTGAATTGATTGTAACTGGTGATGGGATTTGGTGTAGTGCTACATGGAAGTTCCTATAGTTCCAAAAGGCACAAGAGACAATGTGGATTTGTTTTTATGACTCTGAAGGTATTATATTTCGGAAATTTGTTCCACAGGGTCAAACTGACACTGGTGAATATTATCTGAGTGTTATGGAGCGTTTGTGGAAAAGAATCGTTTGAGTGAGGCTCAAATATCGAGAGCCCGGAAATTCGTTTTACACACTATCTCACAGGATTGTCGCTGTTTGTGAATTTTTGACAAAAACATCCTCCGTATTCATTTGATTTATCTCCATGTGACTATTTCTGTTCCGAAACTCAAACTTACCATGAAAGGAATGTTTTATGACAAAGTTACACAATTCCAAGAAGCCGTGATGAGGGTCATTGGGACGATTTCAGAAAATAACATAAAAAAATCTATGCTATCATGGGTTGAACGTGCCCAGTGGCATATTGATGCCCAAGGAATGTATTTGAATTAAAATAAATAATTTTGGCAAAATAACTAATTTTTTTTTTAATTTAAAAAGTTCCGTTATTTTTCCGACAAGTGTATTAATGAAGTACGTTGTCGCCAGCCTTAGCGCCTGCTGTCAAAAAGTTGTCACAATAAAAATGTCGTATTGCGCGATGTTCTGTAAAAAAAAAGAGAGTAGATATTTTTTGTTTTTGTATAAATAGTTATAGTCTTTCCAAAGTGAGTTGAACATGTATAAAAACGCCTAGCAATAAAATTTAATGAGTTTCATAGGTGTCCTTAAAAAAGTTTCTGCTCAAGTTAAAAAATAATATTTTGTATACAGGTATAATGTGTAGAAAATTTCTATTATACAGGGTGATTCAGTCATAATGTTATTAATTTTAAGAGCAGATTGAGAAAAATGAGTATAATACGATGGCGTGATTAAAAAAAAATTTAAATGCATATTTAACCTGATGCTCATTATTTAACCCCCTTTTCAGGCTGTTAGTGACCGGCTGACGTCAGCCGGCTATGATATGAACAAGGCGCCCTAGATGCAATGTTGCCATATTTATATATTTTCGCACATATAAAGACAATAAATAAACGGTTTGCTCACGTCAGCAAATAATAATTTAAAATGCTATACATTATTTTTTATAATTATGCAATCAACATATTAAATTGTTATTGTTGTCCAGCAAGAACCTCGAGGAGGTCTGAGCATGACTTGTCAAAAATTATTTGTTATTAACATCATAGTAATAATTTTTAATTTGCTGTAAGCCTTCTACTAAAAATTGAAAGTAACGCAGGCCATTCAGATATTCAGGTAGAAAATACGGCCCAATTAAACGATCGCCATATACTCCCGCCCATACATTGACACCGAATCTCCTCTGAAAGCTAAACCGACAAGTAGTGTGCGGGTTTTCATCTGACCAAATGTGACTATTATGGCTGCAAAGAAATTAGCTCTGTTTCACTTTAAATAAAATTTAATATTGAAGTTACAAAACTCCAAGAGTTCAAATAATTTAAATTTCATTTCTTAACCATTTCAATTTCATTACAGAAATAATGACATAAAAAACCAACACTCACTAGATAAATTATAAAGAGAGGGTGAAATGTATGTAGTATTTAAATATTGACTGTAAATAATAGAACATAAAAATACGTTCGGACGGAGACAAATAAACAACTCGGTACGTGTTTCCGACCTAGGCTAACCTGTGTCGAGGTCACTAACCTTCTAATTTGCACATGCACTTTAGTCTAGGAGCCAGACATTGTTCCGTTGCCAACCAGAGTGCCACGGCTGCAAACAACTTATTCTAAAGTATTTTGACCTCCTGAATCCAAAAAACTTGCGTCGCAAAGCCTGAAAGTGGTCAGTTTAATTGTTATCAACAAATTAAATGTTTAAATGGCTGTAAAAAGTTTATTTTTATAGCTAGTACACGGAACCTGATCTGGCTTCTAGACTAATACGAACTGTAGTAGGATCGTATTCCATGCAAAGTAGAGCAAAAAGTTGTCGGTTTTTTATCAAAGGAAAATCGTGTCATCAAATTGAATGTAATGAATAGGGATGATTGTTTTCGAATGTACGGTTATTACAATTTATCATTTTTAATATTATTAACGTTTTCACGTTTTATAATTTATTATGTTAAATAATACACAGTTTTAATATTTCAATTTATTATTCAATATGCAGTTGTGTATAACCAAAGTTTACATAATAAATGTAAACTTTAGTGCAAATCTAAACTTTGGTGTAACCTAGGTAGGCACTTATTGTTTTTTACCTGTTTAAAATGCCAGCACGAGTAAAACAGCATTGATCCGTCCAGAGCACCTTGTTAATAAAGTTCTGCTGCACTTCGATTTAGGAATCAATTGCAAAATTCAAGACGATTGGGGAAATCAGCTGCTTCTAAAGCTTCAACTTTTTGAAAATGTGTTATGTTAACTCCTTTGCGGGAAAAATGCGGGAGATATGGAGGGTGGTAGATTTGAATAAACGCTTTAAATTGTTAGGTAATGGTTTTGTAACCGTGTGTAGTGTATTTTGTATATTTGGGTATTTAGTGTGCCGACTTTTTTTTATTTGATAAAATACAGTCTGCCTAGAAACCTCTGCTTTATTTATTTTCTTTTAACAAAAGTTGACTTCGAGAAGTCAGGTTTGTTAAAACATTTTGCACTAAGTTAATACAATTATTAAAATTAGTTATAATAAAATGCAGCATGATCCTTTATTTACTTGCATTTTATTGGTTTCGTACATATGTATCCGTATACTAAAGCGGAGTATCTTAGCAGGAGTTATGGGTTGATTTCCTTCATTTTTAAAAGTCGAGTAAAACATGTTTTTTCCGATTTTCTGTCTTTATTAAGCCTTCCGAATATGTGGTTAAAATTAATGATATTATGACTGAATCACCCTGTATATTAATTTGGCCAACAACATATTTTAATTATTTATATCCTCAAACAATTTTGTTATATTGACGGTAAGTTTTAGTTATGACGTATCAAAAACTATTTACATTTTCATTAAAATATATTCCTGTTTGGCAAGGCATGAACATATCCTTGCCAAGAAAGGATGAGGACAGGTTGTTAGTTTAGGTTAGAAGTTATTAAATAAAAATAATCAATAACAAAATAATTACGCATCGTTACACTGCAGTGCTAGGCAATTTGTTAACAACTAAAATTTATGGCCCAGTCGCCCAGTGCGGCTGTGTATGTGCGCCGTTTACCCGCGCGCGCATTCTTCAACTGGGCATATACATTTTTACCACCTTCAGATTTAGTTCGATCAGACCTATACAGGGTATTCCTAAATAAGTGTCGCAACGGAAAACTGTAAATTCCTCTTGAAATGAGAAACATTTTTTTCCTCGTCCATTTTTCTCTTCGGGCTTTCGTTTTCGAGATACACGGTGTCAAAACTTTATTTTTTATTTAGTTTTTCGCCAATATCTTAGGAATAGTTTGAACTACAGGACTGAGCTTTTGTACACACATTACCACTATTAATAGCTACTTTTTCGCACCCTTCTCGAATTCATTGGACGTGCCAGTGGTGGAGATTTTAAGGTATCGTAAGGGTTTTTCCCCCCCTAAATTTTACGCCACTGGAAAAATTGACTTTTGACAGCAAATTCTAAAGCGCCAATGAATTTTACACAATAAGAGTTCTCTTGGTTCATTGCTCTAAAGTCAACCGTTTTCAAGAAAAATGACTTTTTATGAACAAAAGCAAACATTTTGCTAACGTTTCGAAAATCTTTTGTAATTCAAAAAATAGGTAGTAATAATTAACAATTTTAACGAAATTTAACAACAGATAGGATTTTAACTTTTTTTTATCAATTTGGCGAGTAAAATTTACAGAAACTGTTCAAAATTACGTCCGTTGGCTTGAATGCACGCATTACATCTTCTAATCATGTTTCTTTCTGCCGCTGCGGCTTCACCTCTATCGGTCAACTTTTCGATAGTATTGACATGGAACGTTAGCAAAAATGTTTGCTTTTGTTCATAAAAAGTCATTTTTCTTGAAAACGGTTGACTTTAGAGCAATGAACCAAGAGAACTCTTATTGTGTAAAATTCATTGGCGCTTTAGAATTTGCTGTCAAAAGTCAATTTTTCCAGTGGCGTAAAATTTAGGGGGGGAAAAACCCTTACGATACCTTAAAATCTCCACCACTGGCACGTCCAATGAATTCGAGAAGGGTGCGAAAAAGTAGCTATTAATAGTGGTGATGTGTGTACAAAAGCTCAGTCTTTTAGTTCAAACGATTCCTAAGATATTGTCGAAAAATTAAAAAAAAATTAAAGTTTTGACACCGTGTATCTCGAAAACGAAAACCCGAAGAGAAAAATGGAAGAGGAAAAAAATGTTTCTTTTTTCAAGAGGAATTTACAGTTTTCCGTTGCAACACTTATTTAGGAACACCCTGTATATGGGTATGGTTAAAGAAATATAGGAACAAGTTTTTCAAATATTTCAATGCCGAGTTGCTGGGTTTTGACCGAACCTGGTACATAGTTCCTAGCTCTTTGGTCTTTAATTGAGATGGGAAAGACTATACCAGTATATTTTTTGATGAACTGCTGAAGCTTGCCACTGGGGGAATAAAATGTAATATCAAAGTTTGAGTCTAACTACGGTTAGTTTTTCTCAAAACGCCTTGTGTGTTTGATTACATTTCTTTTAAATTTTAAGACTATTTTCGTTACTACTCTGTAATTTTTCCATCAGAAGAACGTCATTCTCTGCTGGGAGGCTACGCCAGCAACAGCGACCTCTCGACCAACCTGTGCGAAATCGAGGATTCCGAATACGAGACTGAACACAAACCCCTGAACTACCTAGGAGGTGTTCAACAGACGTCCGTCTGACACAGACCGAACTCGGGCACCCTGAAGAAGGCCCGCTTCCTTGGATAGCATAATATTACTGTTGTACCTATGAGTCCCATTTAGGTTAAGGTGGCATATACGGCTTCAGTATTGTAAAATGTAATCTTGTAATGAAATTTTTTTATTATCACCTTTCTACAATTTTATATTTCATGTTAGGAATTGAATAGTTATCGATTTAAATGGTTTTTATCATAGCGGTTGCATATCATGGGCTATCGACGGAGGGGTTTCTTTTACTTCCGACGGCAACTTTTCTTTTTTACGAGCTCCTCCGTTGATAAGAGACGTCTACTTAAAAATTTGTATATATGAAAGCAAATCAAATATTTTTGTAATCTTAGTTAAGAATATTTTAGTTTGGATGTTTCAATATACAGGATGTTAGCTGAACTAGCACGGGAACGCAGTATATCTCGACTATTTATTTGACGAGTGATTGTGTTACTCGATGATGTATTTTCGTCGTAAACCGTTTTATTCCAGTTTTTTATTTTAATCATTTTTTACGATAGGGAAGTAATTTTAGGATAAATATGTGCCTAATTATAGAGCTGAACGAAGGCAGCTCCGTTTATAAAACTCACTACTTAGCACTTAGTTCTTATCAAGAAGACTCGGAACCACTTATTCCATTTATCTATAGAAATTTTTGTGTTAGGCTGGCACAATACTGTTGGGACAAGTGTGGAGGCGATTATCTAAAAATATTTCCAATACAGTGTGTTTATGCTAAAAATTGATCTTTTCCTCTTCGTAACTATTTATCGGGTAAGCTAGTGTTGACATTTTTGAGAAGTATAGGAAATAGACAAAAAGTAGTTCAAATGTCCCGGGATTGATTCTTCATTTAAGAGCATTTCGACTGTTTTTTTATGTCAAAATCCAAATCCCCAAATGTCAAAATTGGTCCACCCTATACAGAGTTACAGTAAAAGGTTAAGTTTTCATTGAACATACAATAGACTATTTAATTTTAACGGGTATTCATTCAATTTTGCACTTCGTATTTTAAAAAAGTCCACCAGTGGCGTACGTAAAGGGCAGTTTCGAGTTGTAAGGAAGAATAGTGTTTTACGAGTCGAGAGCTTTAAAGTGTTAATTCTGTGTGCGCCCCTGGAGTCCGCAAAAATTTTTATAGACTAATGTTAGGGATTAACTTTTAAGTTGGATGTTTGATTATGCATGTGATATTGTATGATAAATTGTATAATAATTTCCCTTTTACGAGCTTAGTTTTACAATCTTAATGATGTTGATAATGTTTTTAAAATTTGTACCACTGAAAACTAATTTTTATTACCATTAAGGTATAGATGATGTAACTTTTATAATAAAACTTAATAAATTTATTCCCGAGGATTATTTATTACGAATCATATCCCATGGATAAAAAACTGAAGCGAATCCAAAACTGAAATTAGTTCCTTTCAAGATTTTTCGAATTCGGAGGTTAATCAAGACAGTAAGTAGAGTTTAATAAGTATTTTAAAGGGTTGATAAAGGATGATGCACCATTAAAATATGACAGAATTTTTTAACTTTTGGCGAACTTGAAAAATTACTATTTTACTCTAGAATTTAATTCTAAAACTTATCTTACTCCTGTCAATTTTCAAAAAACTTTGTCATTTTCAACAAAAACACAAACAACTAATAATAATGTGTTGTAGCTCTTATTTAAAATCATCGAAAAGTTGGCTATGAATTTAAACGTCAAACAACGCTCAGGAAAAAAACTTGGAATAGGAATAATTTAGTAGAAAAACAAACAACTTAAACAACATAAGTAACATACAATTTGCACCGATAAGTTATTAATCCATTGAAATGTTACATTTTTTGGGCTTAGCGTGCAAAAGTCAGAGCATGCAATTTTATTTTTTTGATGTCAAGAAGGGGCTAGTGTAAAGTTAAATCCATGTTTGTGGGGTCGCAAATCTTGTGCCTCGGCCGCCATCTTGTAAAAAGGGCTGCGATTGGTTTTTATACTACCACTTACTACATCGGGCAAACTATTCATCGCACAGAAAATTTGTAAAAACACTTTTTGTTGCAAATTAAATTCTCTACAACTTTGGTTACATAACTTTTAGTCGTAGAACCAAAAATAACAAAGTTATTAATGAAAATAGATAAAAATTTGGAAATAAATTTTATTTTGGTCGTTATAACTTTTTTTCTGGTCATTTTACAAAAAAATTACATCAGCATTTTGATAGAGGGGTTTTCAAGGAATAATTTCCATTACAAACTTTTCAAATTTTATTAATTAGGGTTTTACAGTGATGCAAAACTTACACTGTTCAATGATTGTACGTCTCTAGGGAATGTACTTTTCTTTAATCGATTTTATCAAATCCATCATGAGGAATCGGCACTCTTCACTATTGTCATGTAAGTAAGTAAAAACATACTCCATGGCTGCATCAATGTTATTTTTGCACTCATCATTTTTATTTTCGTTCCACCATTTTTTGGAATACAACTGCTTGCTGCAATCGTGATGATATTTTGCTCCAACATCTACTAAGTTGGGAACATCAGCTATGTGATTAGCAATGCCTGTTGCAACGTCGTCGGTATGTTTCTTTATGAGGTCCATAATACTTTTTTACTACCGTCAGCTTACTCTGAACCTGAAACGCTTCCGCAAAAACGAAGCAATTGTTCACAAAATCAAAGCCTGTCTGGATCTTCTGAAACTGAAGATGATAAAACTCAAAATCTTGTCCACAAAATTCAAAATACTTTTCACAATTAAATATGCCACACACGCAAGTGTTAACACAACTGGAAGAAAACTTTGAAGGACGCCTCCTATGTCTAATCATTCATATTAATGTATATTTACTAGTACTGGAGAATAGTGTAAGTTTCGCATCGCTGTAAAACCCTAATAAATAAATAAAAATTTAAAAAAGTTTGTAAAAGAAATTATTCCTTGAAAACCCCTCTATCAAAATGCTCTGATGTAATTTTTTTGTAAAATGACCAGAAAAAAATTTATAACAACCAAAAGAAAATTTGTTCCCAAATTTTTATCTATTTTCGTTAATAACTTTGTTATTTTTGACTAAAAGTTATGGAACCAAAGTTGTATAGAATTTAATTTGCAACAAAAAATGTTTTTACTAATTTTGTGTGCGACGAATAGTTTGCCCGATATAGTAAGTATGTAGTAGTATAAAAACTATTCGCAGCCCTTTTTACAAGATGGCGGCCTAGACACAAGGGTTGCGACCCCACAAACATGGATTTAACTTTACACTAACCCCCTTTTAACATCCAAAAATTAAAATTGGGTGTTCTGACTTTTGCAACCCCAAATGTAACTTTTCAATGGACTATATAGAAATTGTTCAAAATTATCACCCTTTTCTCTCAGGCATAAATTTATTCTTCGTTGAAAACTGAAGTCTACTCTATCTAATAACTGCTGATTGTTTCTAACAAATGTGCATTTATCCGCAATGCTATTCCACAATTCTACTCGAAACGTAACTGGCGAAGAATACAAAAAATATTTTAACGTTCACCAAAGAAAGAAGTCACATTTGTTGAGGTCTAGTCATCGTGGAGGTCAAACTTGTGGGCGATTATTTCCTCTTCCAATCCATTTATTTGGATATTGGTGGTTTAAAAAGTCTGTAACATTACTAACATGAGGGGGTGCTCCATCATGCAAGCAATCCTAGTCTGAGTTGTAGTGGCACCTCCTCAAGTAGATCCGGGAGAGCATTTTGGAGAAATTCTACTTAAGTTTCGGCATTTAGTCAATTCGGTAAAATGACTGGACCAATTAAATACCGATCAATAACATCATCATCATCTTCAATTGTATTCAAAATAGGTTCTTCATTTTATGCCCTCATTGCAATAATACGTTCTCGAGCGTTACTGAAAAACTGTTTCTCGTCTTTTAACATTGGAAAATGTTTCTCTATGGAGGATTACACGATTTGGAAATCTTCTCCGATATTCTTCAACACTTAAAAATTATAAAAAGTATAGGTTTGGTTGCTACTTACGAACATTTAGAAACCTAAGAGCCCTAATTAATTTTTTATTAACTCTAGAACATACTTCCTCCTGACATGTTGATCTTGATGTTGTTCATTAAATAGCTGAGCTGTTCTATTCGCACATTTATTGTTCATAAAGTAAAGCGAAATGATATCTACCCTTTCCGCAATGGAATAAACCAGTGTTTAATTTTCAAAAACACAATTAAATAAACCAACCAACGCTTCCAAATAATACTAGAAAATAATTTGGAATCCACTAATTTTACGTTCATTGTGTATATAGCATTCATTTCTGTATTTTACAATAATTTTTTTACAAGTGATAACAAATCGCCAAAAACCAATGTAACGCAGGAAATACTAAATTTATACCATTGGCGTATTTAACTCGAATGACTGACATTTTTTACCGTTACTAATTGTTTGTACATAAGTTTCAACTTTAAAATCAAAATTTTTAGTAAGTGTTGGGCGGAATTATAAAATTTATAGTCTGTTGTAAAGAGAATTGTAAGAGCTTTCAAAAGAAATATTACTCAACCCCCAATGCCAGTTAAACATTTTGGGGGGATGCTTACCCTTGCTGGGGGTGAAAGTGGTGGAGTCAAAAATACTGCAAAGAATGTTTACCTTTAATCTAAAATCGACGGGTCTGAGCGTTTTTCTACAATCTTGACGCAGTTCCTGAAAATGGTTCTGTTTCGTTTTCATTTGGCCACCCTGTATATAATTCAGTCAAATCCCTAATTTCACATTTCCAACACAGGTTTATGTCAAATAGATCGACTGTAACTAATTTGACCTGTATAACTCAGTATATCTGCAATTCTCTGGATTCTGGCCAGGTGGATGTCATTAATCGTTATCGCCTATTATCAAAGCTTAAATCGATAGGCTTTTCAACTTCATTGTTAAAACTAATGGAGTCGTATTTATTAAATAGATGTCAGTTTGTAGAATATGGTGGTGTAAAATCTGAAAGTTACATATCTACCTCAGGAGTTCCCCAGGGATCCAATTTGGGACCCTTGCTTTTCCTTTTATTTATAAATGATATATCAGCTAAATTATCAGTGCCACATTTACTTTTTGCCGATGATTTAAAATTTTATTTAGAGATCAATACCGTTCAGGTTCAATCTTGAGCTTAATTTGAATAAGTGTAAGGTTGTTTCCTTTCATAGGAAACTTACCCCTACAATATTTAATTACACATTGGATGGAACTATTATAGTGATAGTGTGATACTTTGAAAGGTTTAGGTGTACTATTTGACACAGAATTATCCTTTAACAAACATATATTAAAGACTGTTTCTTCTGCTTACAGCATACTATATACATATTTTACCAGAAATTGGGGTAATTTCTTAGATATAGATATGTTTAAAATTTTATATACAACATTTATCACGAGTAAACTTGAGTACGCGTCAATTATATGGTCTCCATTATATCGTAATTCTATCCAACATTCAGTCTGTTCAATGCAAATTTTTAAAATATATGTACCTCAAATGCTATGGCTACTATACCCTAAGAGGGTTTGATCACAGGACTTTACTTAAATCGGTCAACCTTCAATCACTGTTATATAGAAGGGACTGTGCAGCTCTAATATTCTTGTGCAAGCTTTTTAAAAATACATATGATTGTAATAAGTGGAAGTATGCAATATGCAACCCATTCATCGCATGAACCTTGCCACCCGCCTCCATGTAGGGTTACCAAAAAAAACATGTAAAGTATGACAATTATAACAAAAAAGGATGACTTTCAATGAAAAAGGAGGACATTTTTTGAACATTTTATTTTACTTTATTAGGAAAATAAAAGATACTTGTAAACACAAGTGAACTTAAAAAACATTGCATTTTGCATTGATGTTGCGTTAACAAATGGAACAAAAACTTCATAAAATATGTTGCGGGCATCCTTACATTCACTCCGTAGCCGCCGAATGTTATTGTTGAGTATCCAAGGATAATAGTATTGTTAAGATTGTGATTTTGATTGAAAACTAATCATGTTAATCTTGATTAAACTTGATAAACTTCGCATGGACTTGCAGACTTCGCGACATGATAGAACCCACAATTATTACCCTGGAGAAAGTTAAGGAAAAAGAGAAAACCCCGAAAAACCAGATCGAATCTTTGAGTTTTTATCTATTTTGTCTATCTATCTCAACAAGTAATAATGATAGGTGAAAAGTTTATAGAACTTAAATTGTAGATCATCGGAAAAGAAACAAAAAATAACAAAACAAATCTGTATCTCGACGGGGAACCCAGTTATCGCGAAAACCATAATTTACCG